AAAAACACTAGTGTACATGGAGCCTTGCTGGTTTTCTTTTGCACACAACTGAATATAATTTCTTACCCGACTCATCGTTGAAAGATGTAAAACTGATCAGCATCTGAACATTAACTTCACCACAGCCATTCACCAGAAGTCTGAAATCTTCAGCTGTTAAATCCTCTAATGCACTCTTTGGAATTACATCTAGCAGTCCTTTTCTCATTGCCTACAAAACATACACAATCGCAATAAGATAACAAAAAACACAATAAGGCTGGTGATAAATGGCAAAAAAAAAAAAAAAAAAAAAAAAAAAAAAAGACATGAGATGCTCTAGACCAGGGGTGGGCAAACTTTTTGACTTGAGGGCCGCAATGGGTTCATATATTGGACCCGGGGGCCGGACCAAGAGTAGATGAATGATGTGTATGTGTCATCCATAGTAAGTATAGTAATATTCCCCCATAGTAAGCATAGTAATTAATCCCCCAAATAGTAATTCATCCCCCTATAGTAATTCATTCCCCATATTAAGTCCCCAAGTCCCCCCTGTGTCAATTTACTTACCTTTGCTCCGCGCGGTCCTCTCGCCGTGTTCCTGCGCCGTTCCGGTCTTCAGGGCGGACTGTGAGAGGAGCCTAGCTCCCCTCACGTTCGTCACGCTGCCCCGCCTACACACATCCTGACAGCCAATGTATTACGCTCCGCGGGCCGGATTAAAAGGTCCGCCGGGCCGTAGTTTGCCCATTGCTGCTCTAGACTAAGCATAGCTTGCTATTATCAGGCTATTTCTGGGAGAATCAGGAAATTGGAGGCCTGTACGGTCACACGGGGGGAAAGACTGAAGCACTGAGTGCGCCTCTGTGAGGGAGCATCACAGCAGCTCTTGGTCATTCTGCAAGCAGCACAAGCCCTGGCAGATCTGTCCTCCCAGCATGATCAGATATATTCTCATCTTTGGCTAGCCTTATGCAGGGAAATCAGTCTTTTGTCCTTTTTCTCTGGTCTGACAATAGTAAAATAGGTTTACAGAAATCTGTCCATTATTAAAGACAGGCAAGTCACAGACTAACGTCATACCTATGTGTTGCAGTAAAGCACAGTAAAATAAGCTATGTGTTTTGTAAAACACAGAACTGAATGCAGTACATTGGGGTGCACACTAGTTGGCAAAGAACGTTTACTACAAAATAGTTTAGGTATGTTTTTTTTCGTCTGTTGCAAAGAGTTAACAGCCTATTCAAAGAAAATGAGCTGCTTTAACCCCTTGACGCCGACGTAACACAAATATGCGGCCGCACAGAACTGGGCTTTTTCCTGTGGGGCCAAATATTTGCGTACCTGTGTCTGTGCTGGGAGCGCACCACACAGCGCGCTCCCAGCACAAAGACCACGGTGTCACTGAGAGCACCGGGTCCCGTTCTAAAGATCGGAACCCAGGACTCCCGATTCCGGGTCACATGATCGCTGTGATAGCCTTTGATTGGCTATCACAGTGATCAGTCACTGTACAGCCCGGCCTCCTGTTTTCTCTCTCTCTCTCGATGAATGGAGGAGAGAGATACATTGTATCTCTCCAACTCCTGGCATGTTCATAATATTTTTTTTTTCTTTTTACAAAATAAAATAATAAAGAAAAAATACCTAGATCAAGGATTGATCTAGTTCAGTGCCAGGGTTAGTGTTTGGGTCAAGGTCCGGGTCAAAGTTCAGGATTTAAAAAAAAAAACATTTTGCTGTCAGTGTCAATGTGTTTCAGGTAAAAAAAAAAAAAAGAAAATGTGTACTATTGTTTCTGGGCTGTACTACAGGTACAAACAACAAATAACACACATATATGGTGTCGCTGTGATCGTCAAGAGCTGGAGAATTTATTTTGGGTTGTTCTTTGGTGGTAGGTTATGGTAGTAACAAGAGAAACAGCTAAATACATTTTTTTGTACTATTTTGGGCCAGTTTTCATTTGATAATCAAAAAAGAAAAAAAAAATTTCAGGAGATATCGATTACCATTTACCACCAAATGAAAGCCCAATTTGTCCTGAAAAAAACGCGGTATAATTCACCTGGATGTACAAAGTAGTTGTGATGATATGTACGGTTTTACTATCACATGTCAACGTTGCAAAATTGTGCTTAGGCATTTAGATTGGTTTTACCCTTAGACTTGAAGGGGTTAAAGTGTACCTAAACGTTGGTGTAGTAGCTGTACAGTATTTGGTTTTTTGTTTTTTTTTCCAAGAAGCTTTTGCTTTATTTTCAGCGGATAATCCCACAAACACCTCCTGTCTTTGGATGGCTACATCTTTCCTTCACTTCATCTATGGAGGGTGCATAGGTTGACACCCTAGGCTGCTCTCCCAGTATGGGCTCCAAATAGGTCTGTATCTTCTCATTTCATTACACAGGGAAGGGACAATTTGTAGTTTACAGAAGAGAGTTTGGAAGGAAGATGATCTTTGCTGCAGCTCACAGAAAGTTTCAAAGATGCTGCATTTCTGGCAAGATCAACAGGTATTTTTCTCTCCTGTATTTGCTCAAAATGTTCTTTGCTTAACCATTTGCAAACTAGCAAGGTACCTGAACGTCGCTGGACTTCAAGTGGTTATACCAGGCATCAGCCAGGTACAGTTTTTTTTTTTTTTTTTTTTTTTAAATTAAAGTGGGCGGTCAGCTCTCTTGTACAAGCAATCAGAGCAGCTAACTAGCCGCTCGATTGCCTGTGCAAGCAGTGAGAGGACATTCCTCCCACAGTGTAAAAAATAAAAATTATTAAGAAAAAAAAATGTGTAGTACCCCCCCATGCAAAGGTAAATGCATGCTTCGGTCCCGCACGCAAACCACAATCGCCTCATGCATTTGAGGTATCACTGCAAACATCAGATCATGAGCTGTAATTCCAGCTCTAGATCTCCTCTGTAAATCTAAAGTGGTAACCTGTAAACGCTTTTAAAGTGTTTACTATGAACAGTAAAATTTACGTAGTTTGTCGCTGTTGCACGGGTGTGCGCAATTGTGAAGCATGACATATTTGGCATCTATTTATTCAGCGGCATATCTTTTATATTTTACAAAAAATTGGGTTATGTATTGTGTTATTTGCATAAAAATTTTAAAAAGTGAGCTTTTTCCCAAAAAAATTGCAGAACAGACGTCTGATGTCGGATGCCCAGGAGGCGCTTAACACCCTAGCAGAGCACGCCGCAACAGGGAAGAGCGGTTTCCGCCCCTAAAAGGCATATCGCTGTATAATAGTCTGACAAATCCAACTGGAATTAGTGGCAGAAAAGGCCATCAAGCCTTTCTGTAGACCGTCCAAGCACAAAGAGAATCAGACCTCTGAAAAGCAGCCGTCACAGAAAGGAACACGCAATTACGAGAACCATGCCCAAAGAGTGCAGGGCCAAGAACTTCGGGTGCGATGGCTAGGGCATAGCCGCTTGAATGGTCGTGATCACTGAGTTCTCACACTTCGAGCTGGCAGGGAAGATGCAGCATCAGACCGATACTGCACCCACCTAGGCAAGTATGATTCGGGGGGGGGGGGGGGGGGGGGGGAGGGGGGAATGGGGGGGGGATCTATTCTCTTTAAATCTAGATTAGACATAACAAAAGTAAAACTCTGCACACATTCTCAAATAAACTTACATGTAGAGGCTGTTCTGCTACTACCAGCATCCTATGTTCAGCATATTTTCTTACATATTCATATACATTTTGAGGGGTTACAGGGATATTTACACCATTGGGAATGAGCTCCACCTGAGGAGGAGAAGAAAACTATATTTAGTCATAAGTAATCTGAATAAGCATACACAATCTATACAAATGTGTTAGAGAATGATTTAGGAGACAAAAATGGAAGGCATTGTAACCCCCCCAAAAAATTGTGTTTTTGTTTATTTTGAAAGAGGTTTACTTTGAAATAGTGAGGTTAGAGGTTAAAGTGAGATGCCCAGTGAAGGCAAAGGCTTACGTTCAAGTCAGAAACATCTACCAAAGAGATCAGCTTAATAAAAGGTCCCCGTTACTCAACATTCTTACATTGATTAAAAAAAAAAAAAAAAAAAAAAAACCCAAAAAGGTAGATTGGAACAAAGTGAACCTATTCCTGCACTGAAATCTGCTGTGAGCTGTTAAACTGTGCTTTTCAAATGGACGCTTAGGAAAATTAAAGTAGTTCTAAAAGGCTGAAGGTTTACCTTCATGCATTCAATGCATGTAGGTAAAAAACATTCTGTGGTCTGCTGTGCCCGCAACCCCCCTCCAATACTTACCAGAGCCTGATGCTTCATCCAGCAATCTGCACGAGAGTTCACTGGCTCAGACACAGCGGCAAGAGCCATTGGCTCCCACTGCTGTCAATCACTGCCAGTAAGGAGGGAGAGCGGGGCTGAGCTGTGCTCTGTGCGACAGGACACAGAGCAGGGCTTGGGAGCGAGCATGTACAAGTGCTTGCTATGGGGGCACCTCTGCAGAGGGGAGGGGCCAGGAGGTCGGCAGGGTATCAGAGAAGAGGAGGATTGGGGTGCTCTGTGCAAAACCATTACTCAGAGCAGGTAAGTAGAAAATATTTATTTTAGTAAAAAAAAAAAAATTTAACATTTACAATCACTTAAATTGTAGAGGAGTTAGGTGTGGCAAGCTTTTCTATCATTCAGCATCTGAGACACTAAACATTTTCAACTGGATCATTTTTTCATGGCAGCCAATGGTATATAGGGACACAAGACAAGGAATGTCCTTCAACATTATAAAAACAAAAAAAAAAAACAAAAACGCTTCCACAATGCACAAAAGCCATCCTTGGAAGAGCCAAATACAGTCTCTACCTCCCCTGCTATCTCTCACAGGAGTTCTTCTGTGTACTAGTGCAGTACACAAAAAAAAAAAAAACCCACAAAAAAATAGCAACACTTTCCTCACTTTTTGCCATTTTCTCAATGAGGAAAGTTTAGTTAGCTATCATACAATACAGTTTAAAAGGTCAGCATGCATAATTCATATTGTTCATACCTGTCCACCACTCTCCTCCTTGCACAGGTCTATAGCAAATGCCAAATCCATTGATGCAAACACAGCATCTGCGTCTGGACTCTGGGAGGCAAGGATGAGCTGTCGTAGACTTTCATACATCACATGATCAAAAAACGCAAAATCGTGCCAGTTCACCTTCACAATGATAAAAAGGCAAAAACATTAGTAATGTCTAGAAACATTCTGAGATTATACGAAACTGAATGACTGACAATTTTGCCAAAAAACACTTCATTTACAAAGTTGGGTTTGCTAATTTCAGATATTAACAGAGCAGCTTCACAATGCCCGATGCAGCCCCGCTACACTTTCTCATGGACTATGATGTCCCGTGGTTTTGGTGCGTTTTCAGAAAACACACCAAAAATGCAGCAGTTTTGGTATGCAGGTTAGTTGCACTTTAGCAAATGCCCAGCGTGGTAGTGTGAAGCCGTCCTTATGCTTCTTCACATGCAGAGCTATGTCACATTAGTATTCCTGTTAGTGGCAGAAACTTACTGGTTCCTACAACATCATTTCCTCTCTGGCTGAAACGCTGTAGAAACTCATTTCCAGCGAGAATGCAGCAACAGAATGACACTTTGTTGGTCTGGCCAGCTAGGAAGCAACTCCAAAGAACACTTGAGTGCTCCCTTATGGATCAAGGACAGGGCAGGATCACAAATGTGACATGGTCATAAACAGGGCTTTTAAATGTATACACACCAAGGACTAGCTTGACAAACAATCGTAGAGTACCAGGATGTTTGTGAAAACTTTAGGCCTTCCTTACAGGCATTTCAATCTGTGCCCTGTATGACAGCCGTAATGCAGTCCCATAGCTATCATATGAGACCCAGTAGCTAGGTGCGTCCGAGGCCATGCACCCTCATGACGTCACATTGGGAGCACCAACTGTATACATGCAGCCATTGCATCCCGACAAGAATGGGACTGCTGGCATGGGGATCCACTAAACACCTGTGCATTCATGTGCTGGTGAACCTGGCCCTGCATGCGGCACAGATATAAATGCCCCATGTGAACAAGGGTTAAATTTTAAGTGTTAAAGAGCCACAGGACCAACATGAGGATCTTTACAAAAAAATACCAATGGGGTCAAAGAAGAAAGCAAAGGAAAAAACGGCAGATGAAGAGGGGGAAAAAAAAAAAAAAAAAGATCATAGCAATGAATAGTAGGTTCTGGCAGAGATGGCACAAAATGTGGTAACGAGAATGATTTAATAAAATGGCATTTTTGTACCCATTATAACATCATCTTCTTGAAGTCCATTTAAAGGCACAGGAAGCCTTTGGGTTATACTGCTGCCTAAAAGAGGATTGAACACTGATAATAGAAGCTGTAGGCCAGCCCAGGGTAACACCTCCGACTAACATGTCAATTTTGGAGCAAAGTAGGGCTAAGCATGATCCTAAATGCAGAGGAGTGGGACCCATGTCCCTGAATGGACAAAAAAAAAAAAAAAATAGGTCTTTTGAACGCCCTGTAAAATCTTTTTTTGGGGTCCATTGAGGGACACAGGAATTAGGATATAGTGCCACCTACAGGAGGCAAACATTTGTAGCCCATCCCAGGATAGCACTCTCCCCTACCTAGCATGCCTAAGTTATGTAGAAAAACAGTATAAAGGAGTATGATCAAATATACAGATGCCAGGACATGTGCCCATCAACGAATTGCAAGAAAAGGATTTTACACTAAGCACAAAAAAGTCTCTCTTTGTCATCCACTGAGGGATAAAAGAATTCAGATACTATAGGGACATTTAATTTAGGGGTAGGCGACTATGCAAAAACCACTAACAGGCCCAACAAAATAGAACTGGGGACAGCATATAGCCCAAAACACGCCTGAAGGCTCAAAACCGGAATTTGTGTGATGTGGCAGAGCACCCTACAAACTGGGGGAACAGCAACAGGACAAGTGTCAGCTTACTGCTCAAGACCATACAGAAGGGAACAATGAAACCTAGAGCAAGTGAGAAGCTGATCAACCTGAACCTACCAAAACAGGTGAAACAAATACTCATTTAGGGAAGAAGTTATTGGTACCAAGTCCTGGTTGGAACACCTGCCAGTATAAGTGGGAAGACCCTAAGCCTTACACCCCTGCCCCACCCCCCACACAGGGATCAAGGTACAAGAATCTGGCCAGACCACTAGTCTTGGCAAGAGATTTACCATGTATACTGTGAATCAGCTAGAACACAACAGGCTACACCACAGGGGTCTACACGGCAACCTCAGAAAAATCCTGCTGGAAAACATCCTTGCCTATTCCTGACCTCAAGCCTAGTAATGCTCTGGATTCCCTAGACCCAGCAAAGTGCCCAAACCTCTTACCCTGTTGAATAACAGGAATCTTAAAATCTGCCTGGATGGACTGGTCCCGCAAAACACACTGCACCTGCCCCTGTCAGAAGATGCTTGCAGCAGAAGACAAGTTCTGCCTGCAGACAAACCAGCAGAGGGCCTTCCTACTGATGATCTGCATCTGTCATGCAGGGTATGAGGTGCACCCAGGTGTATGGACCTCTGGCTCCATGTCCAGAGACTTCCAGCTGAAGGGAACTGGTGTGCCAACGTTTGCTCCTCGAGATTGACATGAGTGAGGCTGAGACTCACGGTACTGTTCAGCACAAGAACCAGGCTACCTATCCTGTGAAGGACAAATTCACAATCCTCCTCAGTGGTGAAGACACAGCAGCACCTAGATGATATCCAACAGAGACATAAGCAGGAGACCCACACAAGACCGGATCCCACGATTCAAGGAACCCTTTTACTCTGGAAGTCCAGTGAGCAGCCCTGAAGAGAACAAATCTCCAGTGAGAGAAAACCCTTGGATATGGGGAGACAAATTTACCAGCCACCTGACGGGAAGGCTTGAGTTATCACACCAGAGACCAGACACCAGAGAGGCAGACACGTTAAGACTGCTCATGGAACTAGAGTGGCAACAGCAGACAAGGGTCTAAAGTAAAAAGAAGAGATGGAAGGTGCAAGGTAGGTGAGAGAAGAACACTCCCTTTATGATGACATAAAAGGGTCCAAAAGGGAAGCAGAGGGGGACTAGGTTGGTTACCATCACCTACAGATGACAAGCAGTTTCTAATGCTGAAACTCAAGTCAGATCTGGCAGAATTTTGAAGACGTTAAGCTCTTTGGGGAGATGTTGATCACTAGACTCCCCTATGCCACCTGCTTCACTGGAGGTTTTCTGAATATTCTACAATGGGGGTGTCAGAAAGGCACTAGGCCAAAGCATTGAAGTCAATACCCTGAGAAGTATCAGATATGCATGGACAAACACTGAGGATACAGAACCATACATGGGTGAGGGACAGACAAAGATGGTCGCAGTTAACCTAATAGGTCAGAGTGGCCTCTGGAGTCAGGAGATGCTAAAATATACCTGGCATCACCGAGGGCCTCACATGCCTCAAAGGCAAGGAATCTTTTTGAACAAGAGAGTGGTGGCCTTGGTTGGACACAGCAATAGAAGCCAAAATAACAGGGAGTAGAGCAAAGAGTTGCTGCAGTGAAAGGAACCTAGAAAGATCTCCGCTGCCAACGTTTACCAAAATGGTGTCTGGAAATTTCTCAATGTGAAACCCAGTGAGTGAAGGTCTCTTCTAAACTAACCCTGCAGCATTCTAGTCCAACGGGGTCCAGCTGCAGCACTCCAAAAGCCATGGCCATTCCACATAGCTGCAACTGAAGAAACAAGCTCTAGCAGCTATGCAGAGAAGACTGAAGGGAAATAAAAATCATGCTACCGAAATGAGGCTAGTCTTGACACAATAAAGCTGAAGAAAAGAAGTTCATCCTTCTAGGCTAAGCAGGTAGAAGAGTTATCCTGGGCTGGCCTACAGGTATTTTGTTTGCCAATTGTAGGCGGTAGCATCCCAAGGATAAAAGACTTCCTGTTTTGCTCAAAAGATGAGAAAGAAATGTAGATTAACCACTTCAGTACTAGCCTGTAATAGACTGACAATTACTTAACCATGCACTCTTGTATCCAAACTATTAATTTTCATTTTCATTGAGATAGATCGAACTTTCTTTGGTGGTGGTTATTAAAACTACCTTTTTTTCTTTAACTATATAAAAGAAAAAAGAAAAAAAGAATTTTGTAGGTGAAAAAAAAGGCTTCTCTTACGTTATACCCCCAAAATGACCACTTTTAAGAAACCGACACCCCAAGGTAATGTAATTATTTGCCCAGATTTTTTGAAAACAAAGAACCATGTTAGTTGAGGGGGTAAAAACATACAGCTTAGCAATAATGCACTGGATACATTAAATGTATAAATTCTAAAATAGGGAAAAATGGGGGAGGGGGTTAATGTACAAGTCACAGAGGATGGCGATGAAGGGGTTAAAGTACACACCACGGATTACATTTGAGACTGTTGTGATTGGCCAGTCACATAGCACAGAGCTCCTCAGATTGGCTTGGCAATTGGCACTGCAAAAATAAGCTTCCACCATTTCACTGTTCATAAATGAACGGCGGAGAAATGGGTATAAAAGGGATGGAGTTTTATTTTCCAAATGACGATGGGCTACAACAGGATTTTCTTTGGAACAGGTGTCCTGTAACTATATATCAGTATTTTTAGGTTACAGAGAATTTATGGAACCTGAAAGTTTCACAAAAGACTTACTTTTCTGCCCAAGAGAACCTTTATAACTTGTCGGCTTAATGTGATCGGACATAATTCGTTCTGCAACAGGCACAGGCCAAGGATCCTGAAACATTGACAGATATGTTCTATCATATATTCACAGCACACAATTGTAATTTTCATTAAGATGACATTCCCCTAATTATCAAAACCTTTACCTTCCAATATTCCTGAAACAGTTTAACCGAGCCTCTGTGTTTTTGCCTGGCCTAGGACTGTAGAATCCTCGTTTGCCAGGCTGATAAAATAAGGGGGCATTATCATCACCATCATCAGTATCAGTTAGCTCCATATCAACCACACTGCGGCTGGATCCATGACGTTTACGGTTTTCCTGCAATAAATTGCACAATTTAAGAGGTTTTTTTTACATTTTCAGAGATGGTTCGGAACTAGTGAAATATGAGAGACATTTGACAAAGAAAGTAACATTCCATTTACATGGCCAAATACTGTATGCTATGGTGAAAAAAGTAACTTGTTGAAATCTGCAGCCAGGAAGTCCACGTGTGTGGATAGCTGTAGCTGCCGAGTCTGCACAAAGCAGTGACAGGGTGAAAGCAACTGCAGCTGTCCACCAGCGTTCGGACGTAATTCACCCAGTCTACAGTTAGGGACAGCTGATTGTCCCTGGATGATAGTTCCCTATAAACTTGTAAAAAGAGAAGATTATATAAAACCAAAGAAACATTTGTTTTTTTTATTTCAGTGTTACAATGAGGCAGATTTGGACAGTTAAACAATAATGGGCAGTTCACTAGTATTACGTGGCCCCAAGAATAAAACATCAGCAGTAACAATGGCTTACCTGCACTTTTTCAGATGAATCTAACAAGCCAAGATCAAGTATACTGTCCGCTCCATTTTCCCTAGAAAAGAAAGACTATCTGGTTATTTTTCCCTTAGAATCTCCTATAGTTAGGCTGATAATGGCATGTCGATATAAGGCGTGTGAGAATGACTCGACCCCACTGTAACTAGATTTCATCATAAGGCAAGAGTAAAAAATGTAAAGTTCTAACTAAACCCAAGCCTCTAAACTAAACATAAAATAAATGTAAACCTATATTTAAAATATACCAAAACATGTCATACTTACCTACTCTGTATAGTGGTTTTGCACAGGAGCAGCTCTGATCCTCTTCTGGGATCCCCCTTCAGATGGATCCTAAACCCCCCCCCCCTCCCCCCCCCAAGTGCTCTTATATCAAACCGCTTGCGATGGGTGCACTTGTGCGGGTTCGCTCCAGAGTCAGCTCCGTGTGTCCATAGACACAGAGTGCAGCTTGGCTCTGGCCTTGTCTCACTGGTTGAGGCCTCTGCTGTCTCAGCCTATGAGGAAGGAGACAGCAGATACAGCCACAGCTCTCATGCACAGTGCTGGATCAAGATTGGGCTCAAGTGTAAGGGGGAACTGGGGAAGGTGGTTAAACTGCACTCAGGTTTTTTCCCCCCTAATGCAGAGAAATACATTAAGGAAAAAAAAAAAAAACCTTCAGCCTTTAGAACCACTTTAAGGGATTTCCTTTCAATTACTGCCTGTTGTGTATGGGAAATGATCATAAATCTCCCTGACAGTTTGCAAAAAAATTAAAAATAAATAATAAGCGCTGAGCAAACTGTTGGCGCTATATAAATCCTGTATAATAATAATAATAAAAACAGGTTTGACTTTAGATATTAGGGGTGTCTCTACAAAGCCTATCCTTTCCAAGCTGTGTAGCTATATAGGAACACAGTGGGTTCTAAAATTGTCCTTTATGTATATGTGCGCCAGTTTAGATGATCACGTCTCACCTCCCATGTGCGATAATCAATTCCATAGCTTCATCCACCCGGGCTCTCAGAGAGTCTTCGCTGGCCAGCAGCAGTAGCAGTTGGGCTGGAGACAGTTCTAGCAGCATACCAGTAATTTTACTTGCAAATGCCTAAAAATAAATAGTTATCAGTTTCAAGCATCCCAGAAAGGTTCAAAATTTATAAAGCCAACTTCACAAAGCAGTTACACAAAAATGGCACAATGACAAGCTGTCCCTTACAGGCTGCATGGCTTGTACACGTGGATACAGCCTCTCTCCAAGAGCTTGTCTGTGAGCAGGAAGAGGGTCTGGATCATCACTGGGATTCCCTTCAGAGGCTGGCCTAAAAGGCCTTGTGTCAATCGACAGCTGTCTCCTGAAATCTCTGAAATAAAACCAAGAATTTGCGTTAAGGAAAGGCTAAATGAAAACTACACTGTTGTGCAAAGAAAATATAAAAACAGATTGAACAAACCTGTCTCTGTCCCTCCGAGATCCAGCTCGTAAACCACTGCTTCGTCGCATGTCTCGTTCTCTTTCCCGGTCTCGCTCTCCTCGATTTCTTAGTCTCTGCATCAAACCTTTAACAGCAAAAATAGGATTTTAACTTGTATGTTTCTTTGAGTAAATTATGGGACACAGGATGTGTAGTCTTTACCGTTGGAGGAGATTTGGTCACTGGCAAAAAAAGGCTCTTAACTCTGTATATGATAAGCAGTTCTCTCCGGTACCTAAAACTAGAGGGGTTGTAATTGCTATTCATAAGACTTGTCCTTTTGTACTGGAAAGTCCAGCATGAAAACAGCCACAATTATAACCATCTGAATTCAAGAAAAATGCATATTACGTAATGAATGAAAAGGTACGCTGTGAAAGAGATCCTATATCTCAGCAAGTTTCGTTGAGTGGTTCTTCAGGAGAGGGGCTTCAACAAGAAAATAGATTGTAAGCTCCTAGGAGCATGGCCCTCCTATCCCTCTTGTATTGAACTGTATTGTTGCTGTATTGTCTCCTGTTATATTGTAAAGCGCTGAGCAAACTGTTGGCGCTATATAAATCCTGTATAATTATAATCATTACTCCCATCAGAGACGTATATCCTAATTGTTTTAGAAATTTTGAACATTTGCCACAAGGTATCTACCCTGCAATAGCCATGGCTTTACATCTAAGAGCCGGTGTATTTCCTAATAAAACTTCTTCCCTATTTTGGGACGGGATTTAACTCCTGCCCTACTGCCCTGTTTCCCTCTGCCCCGCCCCGGGTGCATTGTTTCTGATTTTTTTATGGTCCCTACAAAATGATCACTGATATTTTCTTGTGCAACACCCCTCTCCTGAAAAAGCACTCAACTAAATGTGTTGCGATACAAGAACTCTACTACGGCCTACCTTTTCATTCATTATGCAATATACAGTGTATGCATTTTCTTGAATTCATATAGTTATAATTATGCTGATTTCGGGCTGGACTAATGAGATTAATATTATGCTGTGGTTGTACTGATGGGGTTCTGTACACCAAGATGAGATATGTTTTTATTAAAGAATAAGTTCACCTTTGGGAACGTGTTACATGTTCCACCCGTTTTTAGGGCGGAACATGCAACATGTTCCCAATGCTGCAGCCACGCCCGCTGCCCACCTCTCTCTGACAGATAATACGGTGAGATTTTCCCAGTACTATGTCAGATTTGATAACAGCATGGGCGTGCGGGGCTCCGCCCACACACCCACGTCATTCATTCATGGACTTCCATGAATGAACTGCAATTCTCGTCAGCCTTAACGGCTGTGAGCTTGTAGTTTTCAATGAACTGTGGAGTGTCTGGTAGTTCATTGATGCTTCCTGTCATATATCTGCTTGGCTATACATCCCGTACGGCAAGTAGATATTCTGACAGGTCTGCAGGAGACCTGCATGGCATCATCGATCTACTGATCGCTGGTGCAACGCTTTCCAGGCTCCTTTGGACAAAAATAATAAATGCACATTTTTTTACCTGCAAAAAAAATGTGCAATATTTTTGTCCAAAAGGTGAACTTATCCTTTAACTTCTCTTAATGTAACCAATATGACATTGGGTTGAGCTGTGTTAATAAACTTTATATTTTAACAGAATTTTTATATACGGTTTCTTTGAAAGAATATACCCACCTTAAAAATCCCAAAATGCCTCTTTCCTGTCCTGAGGGACCAATATTGATAATTAGGATTGTTGGGATGTGGTGGCAGTGAGCACTATGTGCACCCTTGGCACTGATACAATTGAGCATGGCAATAAGTGTGGCAGTCTGTTAGCCAAATCTTTAACCACTTGGCAACCGGCAACCGCAGGTTTTTTTTTTTTTCCCAAAATGTTCAGTCTTTTTTCCTTTTTATAATGAAAAACCCAGTGGTTAAAAAAAAAAAAAAAAAGATATAAATATAATTTGGGTACAGCATTGCATGTCCGAGCAATTGTCAGTTAAAGTAGCGCAGTGCCGCATAGAAAAAAATTGCCTGGTCAGGAGGGGGTAAATCCTTTCCGGAGCTTAGGTGGTTAATGTTTACATCCTAAAGAGACTTACTTGTATGTGTTCCTTTGTTGGTGTTCTGAATGCAGTCTAGACTTGGCAATTTTTCATTTGACAGAAATGCTTGAGCAATGGCCGTATAGAAGCTTCGGGCTACTCCGCTGCCCTCTCCTGGCTCGTCTTTGAAAGTAACCTTTACTCTGTGCACAGCCATTGGTGTTGTTGCACACCTACGTCCAAAATGGTTGTTTAACTGCCTCATTGTCTGCTGAATAAGGAGGTCTCGATCTCGTCAACCTAGAACCCAAGCAAAAAAAAAAAAAAATAAATGGATCCCTGCCTTTTATTAAAGTTATGACTATGCAAGCATATTCTGCTTTAGATTTTAACAGAAGGATAAGTTAAATATAAAAACAAAATATCCACTGATATTACAAGATTCAAACTATAAATTCACCATCTATATTAAAAATAAACTCCATCCTCCCTTCTTAAAAAAATAAATAAAATATTCAGCTTTCACATAAGCACCGTCTTACCCCACTCCCTAAACACTTACTTGACTCCTCTCACTGCACTGTCCTGGCTCTGCTCAATTCCTGGTCACACAGGAGACACAGAGCAGTAGGTTCCTGCTGCTGTCAGTCAAATATCTGTGAGGAGGGAATGGGGACGTGGCTTTCTAACGCTGTGTGCATCTATGCACGCACACAGCCTGGCTTAGGAGCATACGCGTACAGGCAAGCTAGGGGGCACCCAAAGGAAGGAGTGGACCGTGCTAGTAGAGGACCTCCAAAGGAGGCAGTAAGGGACCACTCTGTACAATATCATTGCACGGAGCAGGCAAGTATAACATCTTGTTTAAAGGAAAAGCGGAGCTTCCACTTTTGGGTGAAACTTCGCTTTAAGCACATTGACACAAGTGTCTACAATAAACGGAAATCGAACTAAAAAAACCAGCATAAGATAAAAATGTATGCATCTTGTTTAACTATTGAGTATTATGAGTGACCTTGAAACACGAAGGAAGAAGCTGAATTCAAAATAGTGCTAAATCCAAAAATGACTAGGAAAATCAATTTAGGAGAATTTCTTGTGGAATCTTACCTCCAAGGTTAAATCTCTAGATTGCTGATTTCGAAGTTTTTCCATCTCTCTGCGGAATTTGGATTCTTTCACTTCAAAGCCACCCAACTCCGTCAATATCTGTTTGAATGAACAAAACTGTAAACCATCTACTTCAAAAATATGTAAAGAAGAACTCTAAACAATGAAAACTTACTGATCCAGGCTCTGCTCCAACATCCTCCATGAACACTCTGCCAAAAAGCTCAAGCGATAACCTCCATCGACCCAACAGCATATCATGTGATATCACCATGCCCATAAAACTGCACTGTGGCCTAGAATAAACAACACACATAGAAATTAACGGGATATGCATCTCAAATCAGTGTTGATCCCAGGTTACCCTTTCATAACTATTCAACAATAGTGTGCCTACTTGTCAGTTTCAAATAACCCTTTAATAGCTATTCAGCACAGTATGCCAACTTGTGGATTCTTGAAAGTGCCTACATACAGTGGCCAAAAATGTGAACCCTTTGGAATTAACTGGGTTTTCTCCAGTAATTTGCCATAAAATGTGATCAGATTCTCATCTAAGTCACAATAGACAAACACAAATGTGCCTAAGCTGAAAAAGCACAATTCTAATTTCTCATGTCTTTATTGAACTCGCACATATTTCTCAACACCTAGGCACAGATTACATGGTCTAAACAAAAAGAATTGAGGGAAATATGGCCTAGGCCTGCCAACAGTAATGTGGCTGTTTCATGTCCTTTGGGTCTGCAGAGACCTTGACTGATAAGACTTTCACTAAGAAATGTGATCTAGCAAACAAAGTCTCCATGTAACACAATGGGGATTTAGGCTTTAATCTTCATAGTCAGGGCACTAAACCTCTCCCATACATGGCCCCAGGCTTTCATATCTTCTGACTAAAACAAAAGTCAAGTTCGTGTTTAGAATAGCCAACACAAACACTTTTCAAGCAAATAAAGAAAAAAGTAAGACCCCCCAAAGTCCAGGATCATGAATCAAGTCTTTAGAATTTTATCTGGTAGCAAGGAAATCAGTCTGATTACTAAAAAATGTTAATAAAGATAAGAGGCAACACTGGAAATATATCTTTGCACAAAAGCATCACTGAATACAATTTTTACTCCAATAAGAATGAGTACATCCTCTATATACAACCAAGCTGAGTGCAGCGCAGTGTACCTGAATGAAGTCAGAGGAGGACCCTCACTCTCTGTCAGCCCAATCTCTGCCAGCAAGCTGCTCTTTAACTGAGCAGCCAGGTCATGTGCTGATGGACCTGGCTTTGAGCTGTCTGTTTCTTCCTGAGGTGCAGTGGTCTCTTCTGTCTCTTTCTGCCGGTTCTGCATGCTCATTACGTTCTTCAGGTTAGCAGCATAAGACATTTTGGTAGGCAAAACCTAATAAAAATACAATAAATCACATTTAAATAACATCTTTCAATCAAAAAAAATCTAAAAAAAGGAACATCAAACACTATAGAAGTATGCTAGTTTCCCAAACTCTCCAAATTGAGCAGGTCCCTCCTTGTAGCATCTTACTGTGATTCAGTCATGTCATGTTCCCCAGTCTTATCACTCCACTTCCAGTCGTGGTGGTGGGCTGGCCCTTTGATGCAGAGAACTGCGAAGGAGGCATTTCCTTGACAATCTATTTCACAAGAAGCGGTCTGAACGACAATGGGCATCATTCAAACAGAAGGGGAAGTGGCCTCTGGGACCACTCAACAACGAGCAGTGCAGAGCTGACAGAGTAAGCACAGCTTTACAACTTTTTATAACGGGCGTGCAGAGTGATTTTTAAAAAATTATTGAATGGAGTTTTCTTGTAAAATGTACCAAACATGATTAAGAGGGCTTTTGCACTCTTACCTCCAAACAGTTTCTGTCCACAGTCACTTCAAGCAGGCATTTTCCACTATTAGCTGAAGATGAATACAGGCCCTGACTCGGTCGGCCAAACAAATCTTCCTTTCGTGCATTGGGCTAAATAAGTGATGGTAAATTGTAATGTAATAATCAGTTACCACTTTTACCAAACAATGGGTAGTAGCATGAGCACACTTCCTAATTAAAATGGCCCACTTACATCCCCCTCCATAGTTAAATAACTCCCAGACCTGCAGCATTGTGCAGATACCAAATCAGATAGATAATGACAAGCCTGACCCTCTTTGTGCATGAGGTATGGGTTTGTCATTGTCTATTGTCTGGTCTGTTATTTGATGAGGAAGGCAGGCAGATAAATGTAGAGGATTCTAAGTGGACAGCACAAGAGCTGCTTATATTAACGATACCTGTAAGAGATGTGGCTGGTCAGCAAGTGGGATGGCTTCTGCAAGAGGAACCTCAAAAGGATTTGGTGGAATACAGCCCAAGAAGGTCATAGAATCTGAGCGACGGAAGAATGGGTGATTCTGGCCAGTCTCTGCAGGTAGTGTATCTTCATCCTTGTCATTTAATGTAGAACCTGAAAAAAAATATTACATGTGTTTTATGGATGTTCCTGCAGAATATACGTTGTGTTCAAAATAATATCAGTCCAACATCACTAACCAGATCAATCACTGTTTTTGGTATAAAATATTTTTCTACATAGCAAATCATTTACTAGTAGGTGTAGTAGAATAATAGAAAACCAAAACAGACCCACCAGTCATGACATGCATGCTGCTGATTCTGTGTAATTGAATTATTAATTGAAATGCGCGTGTTCAAAATATTAGCACTGTGTGGAGTTCAATTCCTGAGGTCAGGTGTCAAACTGGTGGCCCCCAATTTAAGAACAAAGCCAGCAAATGTTGTACATGTTGGGTATAGTGCATTTTTCTCTGAAAATCTGAGTAATATGGGTTGTTCCAGACATTGTTCAGAAAACAGTGTACTCTGATTAAAAAGTTGATTGGAGAGGAGGAAAAATATAAAGAAGTGCAGAAACGGATAGGCTGACTCAGCAAAAATGATCTCAAACACTCAAATGGCAACCAGAAAGACATGGACGAAAACAGAAAACTACTATTCGAAATGGATTGAACAGCCAAAATGGCAAAAGACTCAAACTTTCTTCGATCACCCTGGAGCTGATGATTGGCTAAGGTTACCTGTGAGTACTGTAACAGTTACAATGCCTTAAAGTTATCATACCCCTTGAAAGTTTCCCCATGTTGTCATGTTACAACCAAAAACAATTTTATTTTATTGGGATTTTATGTAATAGACCAACACAAAGTGGCACTTAATTGTGAAGTGGAAGGAAAATGATAAATGGTTTTCAAATTTTTACAAATATGTGAAACGTGTGGCATGCATTTGTATTCAGCCCCCCGGAGTTAATACTTTGTAGAACCACCTTTCACTGCAATTCCAGCTAGAAGTCTTTTTGGGGATGTCTCTACCAGCTTTGCGCATCTAGAAAGAGTGAAATTTTTGCCCATTCTCTTTTCAAAATAGCTCAAATTCGTCAGATTGATGGAGAGCATCTGAACAGCAATTTTCAAGTCTTGCCACAGATTCTCAATTGGATTTAGGTGTGGACTTTGACAGGGCCATTCTAACACATAAATATGCTTTGATCTAAACCATTTCCATTGCAACTCTGGCTGTATGTTTAGGGTCATTATCCTGCTGGAAGGTAAATCTCCACCCCAGTCTCAAGTCTGGATGGCCATGTCTTGGTAGGTTTGCAGTTGTGCCATACTCTTTTTTTTTGGGATGATGAACAGCATTCTGTGAGATGTTCAAAGCTTGGGATATTTTACTATAACCTAACCCTGCTTTAAACTTCTCTACAACTTTATCCCTGACCTGTTACAGAGTGGCCAGCCCAATCCCTGTTCCTTAGCCTCCATGATGCAGTTTGTTCACTAATGTTCTCTAACAAACCTCTGAGGGCTTCACAGAAAAACTATTTATACTGAGATTAAATTACACACAGGTGGACTCTACTAATTAGGCGAATTCTGAAGGCAATTGGTTCCACTAGATTTTAGTTAGTGGTATCAGAGTAAAGGGGGCTGAATACAAATGCACGCCACACTTTTCAGAGATTTGTAAAAAAAAAACCTGAAAACAATATGACGGAATGGCCAGCCCAATCCCTGGACCTTAATCAAAGATAACATTTGTGGTGCGACACCAAAAATGCTGTCTCTGAGGTAGAACCAAGAAATGCAGAGGAACTGTGGAATGAAGTGCAATCGTCCTGGGTTGGAATACCTGTTCAGAGAGCCAGACGTTGGTCGACCGCATGCAACACAAATGTGAAGCAATTCTCAGAAACCGTGCTTATACAACTAAATATTAGTTCAGTGAATCACAGGAAATCTAAATCTTCAAGCAATTTTCAGTTTATATAGTAAATGTTTGAGTTTGTAAAGAAAAATGCAGACGCGGCTATTTTTGTGAAGAGCCTAATAATCATTCTTCACTCTTAACAAATTTTAAACATTTTTCTTCATGTTTTGATGTGGAATAGACTGTGAAGTGTTCTCAATGCATTTGGGTTTATGGAAATAAAAGCCATTATAAGGATTTTGAACTTTACTCACTTTTTTTAAACATGCTATTATTTTTAACCCCCAACTGTATTAAGCAATTCCATAACTATGCTTTATAGCTGGGTCTACAAACTGCGGCCCTTTACTTGCTTTTATCTGGCCTTTTGGGCACGATTACTCCCAGGGATGCAAAACACTATTCTTCTCATTGATATTAACATGCCTCACCCTTCCTTCCACTGACAATGACTGGGCATAATTCTGTCCAATGACACCAAAAATGCGGCACCATGCCTTCCCCCTACTGACCACAGGCACTATGTAATTTTTTTTACTCCCACTGACAGCCAAGCCTGACTTGCTGTTTAGGAATAATGTCTACAAGACAGTAAACTGGCCTTTTGTTTGGAAAGATTGGAGACACCTGCTCTAAAAGAACACAGGACACAGGCGGTCTTATTCTCCATTACGATAGGGATATGCTGCCACTTTCAGGCAGGTATAATCCTTCCCCGCCAGGCAAGGCTTCAGTTTTTTTGTAGCAAGCCACAAAGGCAGAGGAGTGGGGATCCATGTTCAGTGATGTTCTCCAAGAATAGGATTTTACAGGCAAGCCAAAAATGCCCATATTCCTATTCCTAATCATACATCTCAGGACCCAGGGCATCTTTGAGCATATACATGAGCGTATGATCTGAAGGACTAGTTAGCAGCTTTCTAAACTTGAGCTACCAAAATCTGATTACAAATGGCCCAGGAGGAACAAACACTCCTTGTAGAATGACCAGTTACTGATAAACAGTGGAATGTCACCTTTTAAACCATCAAGAGACAGTAGATTTGGAAGCTGCATAATCCTTCCTTGGGTCTTCAGAAAGAACAAAGAGGGAACCAGACTGAAGAATTGCAGCAGTTGACTTCAGGTAATGCCTGATAGCATGAACCATATCCAAAGTGTGAAGAGCCTGGTCTCCCAGCATCTGAGGCTTAGGCCAGAAATAGTGCACCTGTGAGCTGTGGACAGGCTGAACTACAGGGCCATTAACTGAAAGTGGGGGTCTTCCATGGCAAACCTCAGAAACCTTTGGTGAGGTGGAAAGGTCGGATCGCACAGGTAAGCATCGTTGATATTCACTGATTCTAGGAAATCTACTGGAGAGAGGCCACAACAGACGCACAATATCATCTGGAACTTTTGCTGATCCAAGATGGGACAGAGAAGGGAAATAAAAAAAAAAAAAAAAGGGGGGGGGGGGAATAACTCCCTATAGCCCCAAAGGGTCCAATCTTCACACATCACAGTGGGCAATGCTCCAGGAGGCCTTCAGGGACTTCCACTGCCCTGGGCCTGTACAGTACCATACTGGTTGAGCAAGGCAGTATATGCTTGCACAGTGTCCCATTTTGCTGGGCGAAGTGCCAACCAGCAACATTACAGGTCCAGAGCTGGGTCCGGGTACCATTACGCCTCTAAACATAGAAAGGCCTTAGGAAATGGATCTGGAAAAGGCTAGTCCCCTAAAACCAGATGGAAACATTGAGAAGCTAGCTAATTTTCATGCAGAGACTGCACACACATGACTATCACCTTAGTCATTGGCAAAAAAAAAAAAAAACTGAAGCCTTGCCTGGCGGAGGGGTTATGCCTGGGGGGAAGTGGGGGCGCGGACGTCTTGTTAACTGGCCTGTGTCCAATCACCAGAAGATGTCAGTACAATGTTTTCCTAATAGAGGAAAACCGTATGTCCTGGCATGTACGATAAAGAAAAGTAATTCATCCAGTTTAGTATCAGGGCTCTATTATTATCTGTGATAAGAGTTCAGAAAACAAAACTATGACATATTTGGTTTTGAATACCGCAGGCAAGAGTTACAGCCTCAGCCAGAGAAAATTTTCTGTTATGACAAGAAACAGAAATCGTAATGAAGACAAGAATTTTTTTGTAGAGTGAAGATATAGAACTGAATAATTTTAAAACGGTCTGTGCCCTCCTGACAGCTGATCTCCCCATTTCTTGAATCGAGGTCACACCACAAGGGCAGGAAGTTAGGGAAAATGTCCCCAATGAGGCCACAGACAGAAACCTATGAAAATTATAATTCTTACTGACTCTATCCAAAATTTAAAAAAGGTTGCAAGTAGGCATTAATTTAAGTATTCTGAAGATCCTCTTAAAAACACATCACAGCTCCTACAAATAAACCTGAAATCATGACTATTAACTGACTAAATACATGATTTTGCTAAAAATTAAGTAGTTCAGAAACATAGTAATAGAAGTACTAACTTTGATTGGTGTCATCATCATTCTCATGCTCAGAGTCTTCGTTATCAAGGCCAAGTTCTAGGAGCTCTCGAGTTCTAAGCAAATAAAAATTGCATTAAAGCGGAAAACTAGCCAAACAGACATACAAATGAAATACATATACAAGAGCTGATTTTCCTGTCAAAGGAAGTTGTATTTCTTTCATACAGTCATGGGATTTACACAGCTCTGCTGCATAGCTCCTCATTGTCTGGCAAGGCAGACCTGAATTTTCTGCGCTACAGTAACTGGTCTTGTCCCTCCCTCAGCCTGTAATACATATAGAATGATTGGCTTATCTCTCATGTCCTAAGTAAGCACGTGAACACTACAACAGAACTGCTCTGAATCGGAGGTCAGGCTTTAACCACTTGGTATCCACGCTATAGCCAAATGACAGCTACAGCGCGGTTACCCAGTTCTGGGAGGACATCATAGAACATCTTCCCAGAACTTGCCTCCCGCACGCCCCCGTGATCTCCGTGTCCTACGGACACAGCTGGCAACGTGATGTGGTAATACGCCAATCACAGAGGCCTTTTACCACGTGATCAGCAGTGTCCAATGACAGCAGATCACCGGGGTAAATACAGTTGCCGGTTATCGGCTGCACTTTCCTCACGCTGTCACAGCAGGAGGAAAGTACTGCCGAGAACCGGCAATTGTCAGAGAACAGATCAGCACTGATTATCAGTGCCACCCAGCAGTGCAGCCTCATCAACGCACATCAGTGAAGGAGAACAAGTACTGTTTGCAAAATTTTTGGCTGTTTTTTGTTTATAGCACAAAAAATAAAACACCCAGTGGAGATTAAATACCACCAAAAGAGAGCTCTATTTGTGTGAAAAAAAAATAATAAAAAGTTCATATGGGTACAATGTTGAATGACTGTGCAATTGTTACTCAAAGAGCAACAGCGCTGAAAGCTGAAAATTGGCCTGGGCATGAAGGGGGTATAAGTGCCCAGTAGGCAAGTGGTTAAAGCCGCATTAATCTTTTTTTTTTTTTTTTTTTTTTTAAATTCAATGGTCCCCATGTGGTTTGTGCTAGTATGTACCATATATTAACTCATTATGACACACTTAGCAGTTAAAAGTCCTCCAGCACTGAGCTGTCACTGCTCCCACTGGTCACAGTAGCTTTCATCTTTCCTAGTTTTCTCTCCAGGTTTGAGCTCTCTGGTCGCTTGAATGGCCAGGCTGCGGTGAAGTCACTCCCGAGCATGCGCACGGGAGTCGCATCATCACGGAACAGAGTTGTGCAATAAGTACAAACTCATCAAAACTGATGAGCTCTCAGTCCTGTTACCATAATCAAGTAGCAAGTAATACAGAATTTCATGTCCTGAACCTTTAGGGAACCAGAAGCAGCTATGCAGAAAAGCTAAATTTATAATCGCCATGACATGGAAACCTGGAAGTGCCAGCTTAAATATTGCTTCTGGGTCAGCAAGAAGGGTATGAGAGCAAATGCATGTACATTCAAATCCCTCTCCCTCTAACCTTTAACAGAGGTGTTTGGAAGTGATCGGGAGGCTGCCCAGCCACTGGATTACTTCCATCTGACAGCCAGCAGTTGGCTTATCAGATACACACACATTCCCACTGGAAGTTTGAGTAAAATTGTGTGAAATTGTTAATTTTCCACCTAAAAGCTACAAATTAATTTTCTACAAGAGAAAAACTACAAAAGACTGAAAAATGTCTACAGCTGTCTGCCTTCTACAATCCTTCAAGTAGAGGAGTTATCAAGATCTTGAGCAAATACTTTACACACACACGGCTTAAGCCAAATGGTGAAAGTTTACCTTTTCCTCTCCAGCTGAGGTGTGTCCAGTGTGGTCTGTTGGTTCATTGCTTTGATCCAGTAAATAAGAGCCTGGAAAACATAGGCCACGTGTTTCAGGGAACACACATCCAAAACTGGAAGCACATCGGAGTGTTCATCATTGTGAGAACGCATTAGTGAGAGCGCATAGTTCAGAAAGTCTCCACGTGCAGACATCCCTTGGCGCGCACTTAGTAGCGTGGCTCTTCTAGAAGGAAAGGCAACTTTTCATTAAAAATGAAAAACATGACCAACATGAACAGAGAGTAAGATGGTTACTTTAAGCACTATAAGAACATAGATTGATTTTAAATGTTAGTACAGCTAGATAAAGTATTAGGAGTCATAATAGAGAAGAAGCTCTTGTTAACGTTACTCTAAAATGGCCACTACAGATGGCTCAGTGCTTGGTTTTAATTTTTAAAACCAGCAGCAATCATGGGTACCCTGTTAGCACTGCAGGAATTCTGAGGGTAAGGAGAGAGACAACTGGATGGATGTTAAGTGTGATACATTTTTTATGAAGTACATAAGAAATTATGGAAAATTGTAATAAAACTTAAAAAAAAAAAAAAAAACTCATGCAGGAAATATTTGCCAGCTGTGTTCTCTTCTCTTTAGCCAAGCCATAGCACTTCAATAAACTCTAAACAAAAGACAATAGTACAGAATATAGAATACCTTCTGCCTTCTAGTGTCCTCAGGCTTGCTTCTTCTCGAGCAGTCATGCGTTCTCTTCGGGTGGGATTCTGAGAAGCATGAAGAGGGTGGTTCGGATGACCTGGATCTCCAGCTGAAGACAGTGCAGACCCATAACGAAGCTGAGCTTCAGTGGAATCCATTATACTAACCATCCAGTTCCATGTTGGAATAAGCTTTTCTTCCACATAGTTCTGAAAAAACAGAATCATACAATTCAGTAAAATGCAAATCCCACTAACAATGAGAAGCCCAGTTCTAAACAATGCCACACCTGCAAGTTAACTGCATCTTGGTAAGTCAGCTTTACAGCAGCAGGAATCTGAGAGTAGACCAGATGGTTGTACTTTGGGATGAGCCCCATTAAGTCCGATATTTGCCGAATAACTATGCTATAAGCCCTTGCCAGACTGCTTGCCGATGTTAAGTAGCTACTGGAGTTGCTGGCTTCAAGAGCTGCTGCTGCACTAGAGCTCATGTTTCCACTTCGACGTAAACTAGATGGTTCAATGTAAATTAGAGCTCCTGAACTCGCTAGAACAAAAAAGAAAAAAAAAAAAAATATATGGTTGAAATCACTTCAGAAACATATGTTTACAATACAGTAAGTTTCCTACCACAGTTATGTAAAGAAGGTAAAAAGTTTTGAGAAATTATGACCATATTCTATACTGGAAAGCATTTGAAAATACAGGCGTACCTCGGTTTATGAATTTAATGCACTCTGCGGGACTTTTTGTATTGCGAAAAATTTGTAAACCGAAACGTCGTTTCCCATAGGAATGCATTGAAAACTGATTCATCCATTCGAGGTCAGAAAAGAGTTAATTAAAAGAAAAAAAAAAAGTCTTTTATCTGTTCAAAACTCTTAATAAAGTGCACGTTAAAAAGACAAATACTGTACAGGGACCAGATTCAAAATTAATTTCGTAAATGCATTGAGAACCAATTAATCCGTTCCGGACGTCAGAAGTAAAAGAAAAGTCTTCTGTTCAAAATGCTTTATAAAGTGCACTTTAAAGGCATAGTACTGTACAGGGACATGACTAAAAAAATTTGTAAAGGCAATGAAAACAAATGAATCCGTTCGTATTGCGGAAAAAATTTGTAAACCGAAGCATTATTTTCAATGGATTTTCATTCGTAAAACGAAAATTACATTAACGGAGTGGTTTGTATACCGAGGTATGCCTGTATCAATATATATTAGGGTCGAGTCCAAGACCCAGTGGTGGGAAAGGTGCAACAAGCATCCTGAAATGTTATCAGGAAGAGGATGAACCAGCATTTTTATACATGTCTGGCAGAAAAGCATTTTCTGTCATAAGCAGAAAATACCTGTATTTTGGGCAGAATGAGCTCTCCCACCAACTAGCCTCCTGTTACTGGCTTTGCATGAAGCTCTGAAGCTACTACAGCTGGAAATGCATTCCTTCATGCACTACAATGGTGCTCCAGCCTTCAAAACCCACTGTCTTGGGGGAGGGGGGGCTCTAGGCATTAATGCACAAGTATGAAGTCTTCTATATGCCAAAAGGTTGGCAATTCTCTCTTCAGCCAGTGTTGAGATCCAGCCATGCTTTTGCCAAACTGGTGACCTCACTTTTCTCCAGTGAAATTAAGGTCTGGTTATCAACATGCCCCCCCCCCCCCCCCCCCGGCTAGCGGTTTGATCCACTGTTCTATGAGAAAACCCAGAGTCAGAATTGAAAGCTCTGATCAATGAACCAGAGCACTGGGTGCATTGCAAATTTGACCCCTTCTGCTCTAGGGTCCTACTATGAAGAGGATTACAAAGCGAATATAAAGAATGTAAGCAGAAAAGAAAAAAAAAAGGTGGTCTGCGACTTGCCTGCAGGGGTGGAAGTGCTAGATGGAGCGGTGTTAGGAGTTCTTTGATTCTGTGTGCTCCTCACAGCCCATTGCATAGAACGGGGCGCTTGTGCAGCACCATTGGCATGGTTGCTGTTTGTAGACCTCTCTAAAGGCTCATCGATCATAAACGTCTCCTGGTCAAGGTCATCACTCTGACTACTGCTGCTGTCAGAGTCACTTGAGTCATTGGACTGAGAGTCATCCTCAGAGAAGAAAGCTGGGACACTGCTAGCACCTGCAAGGCAAAGATTTTACATTTAGCTTTATACTGATCAGACACACGTTAGGAGTCAAGTGAGACTAATACAAACCTGCTTCTGAGCCAGCAGTTGCTGCTGTGACAACACTTCTTCGGCCACTAGCATTGTCCTGATTACTGTGATTGCTTTCACTGTCACTTTCTGTCTCAGCAGCTGCCAGAAGATCCAATTCCATATCACTCCCTGAAACACAACTAATATTAGTAAGGTGACTCGGAACAAAGCTGATGAATTTTATGGTCTGTGCAACTGCACTTTACCATCCTCATCATGCTCATCATGTTGTCCTTCAGCTTCCGCATTCTCTTCTCCATGCTCCTCTTGCTCATCGTGATGGTCTTCCTCACCAGCAACTCCTTCTACCACTTCCACCTGAAATATAGGCCACAAAACACCGGAAAATATATGACAGCCAGAATAATGGACAGGGAAAAAAAAAAAAAAAAATTTCTGAACTGTTGTCAGACGCTGAAGCTACCTCTTCCACGTCGGCAGACACAATATCATCTTGCTCCTCATCCCTGCTTCTTACGGGCTGTGATTGGCTTATTCTTCTCTGCTGAGGATTTCTAATGATGTAAGATGACTGTGACTGACTGGAACTAAAAAAAGCAAAAAAATGATGGGGAAAAAAAAAAAAAAAAAAAAAAAAAAAAAAAAAAAAAAAAAAAAAAAAAAAAAAAAAAGGTACTGAGATAGCTATACTAATTGGAGGCAAAAAGTCTAAAAGATATTAACAGATGCTATTTACTTTTCTAGCACAGACTCAGATCTTCGGTCTCTTCAAAAGCTAGGGCCACTGAAGAAGCTGCTGCATCGGACACACGTTTGTGTGTCATGGATGCCAGTCACCCGCTACATCTTGTGGCTCATTCCAACGGTCCTACATCAACACAGGATGAAGTAGTTATATAGATGCCATAGATTGAACCACACAGCATTGCAGGGGGCACAGGCATCTGACACACCCAGAAGTGTTGAATGCAGAAGCTTCTTTAGGTCAGTGTGGCTCTACGAAAGTGAAGAACTGAGTCAGCACCCATCGGAGAAATATTAAGCATCCTCTATTTTTCTAGTTCGTGACTGTTGCACAAAAAAAAAAAAAAAAATTATAAATAATGTAGGACCCAGCTTTTTTTTTTTTTTTTGCCTACTGAACACTTTCACCCCTTCCAGCCCAGGCCAATTTTCAGCTTTCAGCACGGTCACACTTTAAATGACAATTGAAACACTGTACACATGACATTTCATCATTTCTTCCGCACAGAGCTCTCTTTTGGTGGTATTTATTCATTTTTTTTTTTTTACTTTCTAGTTAAAATGAAAAGATTGAAAATTGAAAAGAAAAGAAAAAAAAAAAAAAAAACCACAGTGCCTAGATGATCAGTGCAAATGTCCCCAGTCTCTGGATAGCCAGTTATCGGCTTTCCTTTCATCACGCTGACAGCACTGACGAGAGGAAATGCCGATAAATCTGCATTTGTTTACATGTGATCGCCTGTGTTTGGACATAGCTGATCACATGGTAAAGGTATTTGACCCCCCCCCCCGTCAGGTACACTATAATGCCAAATGTATTGGGACACCTGCCATGCACATGCCATGGCATCCCAGTCTTAGCCCATAGGGTTCAATATGGAGTTGGCTTACCCTTTGCAGCTTTAACAGCTTCAACTCTTCTGGGAAGGCTGTCCTAAAGGTTTAGGAGTGTGTCTATGGCCACATGAAGTTTGGAGGTCTTTAGCTATTGACTCTGCAGACAGTTGGTGACTTCTGTGCACTTCCACATGCGCAGACCCAGATTAGTCATTTTGCATAGCCTACCTCTTCACGGCTGAGTTGCTGTTAATACCACTAACAGCTGACCATGGAATGTTTAGTAGCAAGGAAATTTCACGGATGGACTTATTGCACAGATGGCAACCTATCACAGTACAATGCTTGAATTCACTGAGCTCCTGAGAGTGACCCATTCTTTCATAAATGTTTGTAGAAGCAGTCTGCATGCCTAGGTGCTTGATTTTATACACCTGTGGCCACGGAGGTGATTGGATCACCTGACTATTGATTTGGAGAGGTGAAGATAGAGGTAGATACCTTTTTTGAGACTCAATAAGCAAATTCAGGTATAACAAAACTTTGTTTAGAGTTTTTATAATAAGCATAAAAGAAACATCTGAAATACAGAGGAGAGATGGGGACGTTCTAAGGTGTTGACACCTACTGGACACTAGACAAAAAGCAAGTATGTGGCATACGTGGAGAGCATTTTGTGTAACCTCCCCACTCAAACCTATTAAAGAAGGTTGTATAAAGCAAAAGGTCTGCAAAGCTTACCAGTAAATCGTGAAAAAGGTTTAAAATAACCAAATCTACAATCTTGCCAAAAATATATATATATGAGCAGATGAATAGGAAAATTAGAAGTTTTGTACTTGCTGTAAAAACCCCTTCTTTGAGTCCATTGAGGGACACAGGAATATAGATACAGCCAGTCTATACTGCTACCTAGAGGACTGTACACTGGAAGACAATTGTAAGCAAGCCTCAACTATAACCTCTCCTCTACTCCTCATGCCTCAGTTTTATGGTACAGCAATGCTAAAAACATGAATAGAACACAGAGGCTTGTGACGTGTTCAATAGATTCATGAAATGGATTTTACAGCAAGTACCAAAATCCAATTTTTTTCCTCCATTGAAATTCATATAATCGTCCCATCCAAAGGCAGTCCAGCTGAGGGGTGGGCAACAATAAAAAACACTAACAGTCCTCACTAGGAGGACTTGGGCTACCTGCAGCCTAGGGGCCACCAGAAGGACTAATGCTTGAATCTGAACAGTTGAGGTGGAATTCCATAACAATGATGAACTGTCAGCACAACAAGGAGAGCATGGTGGATCAACCTGATGCTCCAGACTAAGATGAAAAGGCCACCTCTAGAGGGGAAAGACTCTACACAGAGGGGAACACTGAACTTGAGCCAACAGAAAGTTAATTAATCATACCACACGCAAAACAATACATTCCTGGTTCACGAGTTTCATTCCATGAAGGCAACGTAAGAGAAGAAAAAGGGTGCAAGGATGGGCAGGAAGAAAGGTTATATTTTAACCCACCAGACTGGTAAAATGGGACCATCAAAAGACACTGAAGATGGAACTAAAACATCTCCTCTGACATAAGACACAGAGCCCTGCCCCTGCTTTATCCTCAATGGAAGTGATTGACAGCAATGGGAGCCAATGACTACTGCTGCAGTGTTTCAGCCAATGAGAAGAGAGACCCGGGAGAGCTGCTGCTCCCGTGTACAGTGCTGGATCAATATCGGCTGTGGAGGGAGCAGCAAACAGAAGGGTTTTTTTTACCTTTATGCATAGAATGCATGAAGGTAAAAACCGTCAGCTTTTACAACCACAAAAAAAAAAAAAAAAAAAATGGTGAAGGTTTACCGCAATAATCCAATCACATATAGAGCAAACACCCATTCATTTCATCTGCACACAGCTGAATAACTTAAATAAATCTTCCCTTTTTTCAATGAAGATTCTGAACCCTTTAGTACATCAGCCTCATTATAAAAAGGGAATAGGGTACTAGCATCGGATTTGTGCAGCAAGGATCTTACCTGCTAGACTGGTCAGAGGATGGCCTTGGAGGGAGAGGTTCAACAGAAAAGAGTTCTTCACTTCCCTGCATTGCGTCAATACTTGTGCTGGCCAACGTGAAGGGTGCAGTAGGTCGCGCAATTCCCATTCTCACTGGAACAATGAGTGACTCTGCAACATTACACAGCTCCTCTACAGCATATGGAAGCAGTGCTTGGAATACCCTTTTACATTTGCCTATTGGCTGTGGAATAAAGTTACTAAAAGAACGAAAGAAAAAAAAAAATAAATTAATTTGTGCCCTGACTAGTATTAATGCATTGTATGTAGAACGTTTACAACTCAGATGACAAAAAGATTAAAAATGAGGGTATACTTACTTTTTCTTCTTGGAAGAAGCCATTTCAACACTGAGTATGACAAACACACGAGCCACAGACCGCAGAAACCGCATAGTGACAGCCACTGCCTCCTCTCGACGTCCAGGAGTGTACTTGTTCTGAAGTTCTTTTACTAGTGTTCCCAACAATGTGTCCAGCAGCTAGGAAACAAAATTATTTTCACTCATTTTAATACTATAAACTTTTACAGGCCCAACAACTATTTCCTTTTATTTTTCTTCATTTCATTTTAGTAGTTTAGGGTTTTTCCATAAAAATAGAGAACAAGCACATGCGAGTGAAATTCCCTTAGTTGTCTTGAGAACAGTGCCCGTTGGAAGATCACCCCTCTATTTTTCTGGTGGCAACTCAACTTTTGCCACCAGAAAAAAACTTTTGGATTTACGCTCACTTTCTTTCCTGATATTGATGGGCAGGACAATTAGAAAGAAAATCTCTAATGGAGACATCTATTGCAATAAAAACCTGACAGTGGTGTTATTCCTCACCACAAAAAAAAAAAAAAAAAAAAAAGGAAGATTGAGACTCAACTGTAAATTCCTTATATTTGAGTACAGTACTTGCATTCATAGACCATAGGTTATATGCAGCTACCTTCAGATGATTAGACAGACAGGAAAAAAAAAAAAAAAACTAAAAAAAAAAAAAAAAAAAAAAATGCTACGGCAGCCAACAGGGCACACCATATGTCCCAGCCCACTACATGAAACTCCTGCTTTTTAGCAAGTAATAAAGTGTGATCAAGACAGAGGGGAAGGGCCTGAGTCCTGTACTGTACTCCAAGATAAGGAGTTTAAAAGGCAAATCAGAACAATGTCCTTATTGAAAAGAGACCTTGGGTAGAAAGAAGGGTTTTGGCCTAAAAACCACTTTGTCCTTGTGCAAAACAAGAAATTTCAGAAACATGCCTAATAGAAGTAATGGCTACCAGAAAAGGGAACCTTTAAAGTGAGGACTTACAATGGAATATCTAATTGGTTTAAAGGGAGGTCTCCAAAGTACATAAAGCACCTGGTTGAGATCCCAAGGTGAAACAGGAGGTCTAATTGGGGAATTTATATGAGCAATGTCCTGAAGAAAAGTCTTGATAAAGTATAGCAAGGCAGACATACTAAGGGCCAGACGCTGGTCAAGAGCAGACTGAAGAAAGGCCAAAATACAAGTGATAGAGTATGTCCTAGGATTCAACTTCCTGCCCTTGCACAGGCAACACAAGCCTTCCATATGCAATGGAAATTCTTGTGGGAGTGATTTTCTTGCTTCGAGAAGGTAGGAACAATAGTCAGAAATACCCCATCCTTTGAGATTTGGGTTTCAACAGCATTGTAGTTAAAGTCAGCGACCAAAAAAAGTCTGAGTATGTCTGTGTACCAAGTTCTTCTGGGCCAATTAGATTGATGAGAATCACCAGAATGTTTTCCTTTATCTTGCTCAACACTCAAGGAGCATCCTCATTGGAGGGAAGGCATAACCCACCTTGAAGGGAGTTCAAAGAATCACCACAGCATCTGCTACGAAGGCCAGAGAATCACTGGCCTTCGCTACAAACGTGTTCAACTTGTTGTTGAACTGGAGATCAAGATATCCACAATTGGTTTCCCCCATCTTTGACACCATATTTGCCACCTGCCAACTGTGCACTTTATGAAGGTGGAGGGCCAAGAGAGCTGGAATGAGCTTGCTCCCAGGAGAGTATCAAACTGGTTTCTTTTAGGACTGTTTGACTTCTGGATCTCCCATGATGGCTAATGTAGGTCCCTGCTGTGGCACTGTCTGACTGTATCTTGACTGGGTGATCTTGCACAAGAGATCCAAGGTTGTAGAGAAAGGAAGATGGCTTTCAGTTCCAGAATGCTCATGGGAAGTTTCAACTCCTGTGGAGTCCAGATTCCCTGGATAGTCAGAGAATTGTAAACAGCACCCAAGCCAGTAAAGGCTGGCATCCATTGTTATCACCTTCCAGCATGTGTGAAGGAAAATCTCCCCAACCGCAGGGCAGGACTGGATATCCACCATGTCAGGGAGACCTTTCTTGGGCTGGCTGGAAGCCTTTAGCAACCCAAGGATTTTGTTTATTCCAAATTTTGTGTGTGTTGGATTGAATTGGTCTAGAGTGAAACTGTGCAAAGGGAACAGCTTCAAAAAGGAGGCTACTGTCAAGCCCAGAACAATAAACCAGAAGCAAACTGAGGGGTGCCAGATGGTCCTAGTTGTGGGACCCTAGGGAAGTAACCTTCTCATAGGGAAGAAAAAAAAAAAAAAAATCTATGCTTGGGTGGTGACCAAGATTATATCTAGGTACTCCAGACGGAAGCCAAGATTGAGGCTGACAAGGCCTTCACTAGAAGGTGAAACAGATAGTCTGTGACATGAACACCCTAGGTTCACAGAAGAGCCAGAAGCATTGGCAAGCATGTCTGTGAATAGTGCAGAAGGGAGCCTAAATGGTAATGCTACAAATTCAGAGAGCTCATCTCCCACAACAAAATAGAGAAAGCATTGATGTAAGGGGAAAATGGGGAAGTGTACTGATGCCATAAATTCCCCTTGTCTGAAAGAAGCCATGACAAATCCAGTTGATTCCATTTGAAATTTGGGCACACAAAGAAATGGATGCCCCATTTTGTTGTTGGTAGCTTGCAGATTGGAAGAAAAGGTGAGAAGGGGGCAGAGATAGAAACTGTTTTGTACAGATTGACAGATTGGACCCAGATATCCGGGATATCTTGAATCTTCCTCTCCTTCCCAAGAGTAAGGGTGCCTCTTCATTGTAAGGAAAGCTTCTGGGCAAACTTGGGAGTTCAGGGCTTTCCACAAAAAGAGGTGCCAAGCTTTGGTTTGGAAGTAGACACCAAGGGAGGCTGAAAATAATGTTAGATTAAATATTAGTAGCTGAGGGAGTTGGAGAACTAGGCTTCTTCTTTTGGGGTAAAAAGCATCTTTCCCTCAATGGCTTTCTTGATTTATCAAGGGATTCCTGAAATAGGTGTTCATCAAAATGCATGTGTAGAAGATGCTTTTTTTCCCTATATTTTAAAGCCGGTTCAGCACCGCAAGCTTTCAGCCAAAAATCCAGCACATGTGCAACGATAAGAGACATTCTAGAGGCTTGGCAAATCATTCTGTAGAGCCGTCTCTCTCAACCTTTTCAACACAAAGGAACCCTTGAAACAAATTAGTGTGATGGTCAGTGGGAAGAATGCTCTTTACACTTTTAGCCATTGGGAAGAATTACACCCTTATAGATAGCTAAAAAGATTAATGGTGGCAGTGGGAACCTAGAGGCAGAAATGTGCTAATTGCTCAAGGAACCCTTAGAAACTTCTGAAGGAACCCTGGTTGAGAAACCCAGATGTAGAGCATCAACATAAAAACAATGCTGAGGGCATTAGCAGCAATAGTTGTAAGACATAAGGGTCCTCAAATACAGGTTCAGGTTCACCAATTTATCCTGTCCAGTTAGCAAGTCTAGGCAAATGGACATAGCATCAATTGATGACTGTAGAGCAGGCCCTGCAAATGCAAAGGTCTTTAAAGAGGGCTTCCAGATACCCATCAACAGAATCTTTGAGGGGAAAGATGCTCAAAAAAGGAACTGTACAGTGTCTATTGAGAACAGAAATCGCAGGATCACTACTGGACCAGTCCATTTCTTCTTAAATTCCTTTTCTATAGATTGAATTTCAGCAAAAGGCTTAGGAGTGAATATCCTTTCAGGATTGGACAGTCCTCAAAGCGCACAATTTGTATGTGAGCTTCTGCTACAAAATCAGGGTCCTCAATACTTCGTTTCATAACATCCTCAAGCAAAAGGGGGCTCCCCATCTGAATCATAAACAGGATTAGGGGAATAGTGCACGTATCGACAATTTCTATTTCCTTCTGGGGAGGAAATATATTGTGGGGCTTTAAAACATACCTCCAAGGGGCAAATGTCACTTAAATAGTACTAGTAACATACAATTTATTCTATACTACAAGTTCGTTTTGTTTTTGGGTTTTTTGCAACATAGAAAACCAAAGCCGTGTACATCCAGTCATGGTCAGGAATTTGAAATGTTGGGTTTACATATTCTTCTTATAGGTTTTTAAACATTCTCTTGGGGAGGGCCTAAGGATACTATTTAAAAAAAAAAAAAAAAATAGAGTTTCATGTAGCGGGCAGGGGTTATATGGTGTGCTCTGTGGGCAGTGCTAGCTAGTTTTGTACCAGTGGCCTGATAGTAGCTTCATATAACTCATGGTCCATTAATGTAAGTCTTGTGTCCTGTACTGCACAAATAAGATAAAAAGGGTTTGACTTTAGTTATAGTTTAGGATGTGTGTCCAGTGAAAACATTTATTGCAGTTGGGTATTGTGGGGTAACGTAGGGTATTGTTGGGACCCAGAAGGGAATGGATAGGGGGAACAGCATGAGCTGTCCAAAAGGGTCAGAGGCTGAAGAAAACTACAGGGTTGTTACGGACAAAAGGCATAGCGAATTATAAAGCAAGGGCAGCACAAGTGCTTACTGTAAACAATTTGCATGAGCAGTCTAAAAAGCGTTACTTGCGGACAGGGTCTCCAACATTACAATTAACTCGTTAAAAGTCAGATAAAGAATATGAAGTAAAGGGGATAGCAGTGATTCAGGTTTAAATGTTACATACGAAGGGGAACAATGTAATGTACAATAGCACAAGTAGCAGGAAGGTGTATTAAACATTAATGCTTACCAAGATGTCAGCAGTACACTTGACAATAAGGCAGTGCGTAAAGCAGTCAAGGCGAATGGTACCGCTCTGCTGATTCAAGTAAACTTGTTCCTCTGGGAGAAGGTGACCAATACGACTGCTGGCACTCAGACTATAAAAATCAAAAACTGAATATTAGAAAAGCCATCTAAAGATTAAACTCTGAAATTATATAGCGGCCAGAATAACTTACGGGTCTTTGTTTTCCTGAGAGCCAAACATTATCATGGATTTAAGTGCGTTCCAGTCCTGTAAGACACGTTCAAGGGCAAGCTGTGCAAACCTTGGGGGTTCCAAATCATGATCTGGCATATCAGAATCTGGAACAAAAGCTGTATCATTTTCACATATGAAAGAAAAAAAAAATAGAAATTTACATACCAAAAAAACAAAAACAAAACAAAAAAAAACTATGTAGAAAAAATATCTGGAAGGGCCTCTTAGACCGCTCTTAGCTGTAGTACTCTAAAAACCAAATGGTTCACTAACAGCTGCTTCCTGCAATGCTGGAAAAGTTGGACACGCAAGAGCTGATCTATCACTCCTCTAATGGGAGAACACCAGCAGAGGAGATCTATCACTCCTCTAATGGGAGAGCCTTGTCAGACATACCAGCGTGGTCATGACAGACATTCAGCATTGTCCGTGCGAGAGTCCCTAAAACTTTTCTGAGAAGTTTCTATAGTACAATGACTCACAGAAGATCCTTCCCGACAGGTGAGAACAGTCTGTTCTAGTGAACCAGATAAAAGCCATGGTGTGGAGACACATCAGTCAGGGAAGTATTTTTAGGGTGATGGGGAGGCACCACCTCATCCCTAGTCAAAGACAACAGGACCTCTTGATCTTGTGCCTTTTGATTCCAAATACCAAAAGGAAGAAAACAAAAAAAAGCACTGGAAGGGCGATATTATACAAGACTATGCCACCTAACAGATAGTGCTCCATTCCTTGGCCTTAACCCTTACTACAGTAAACCAGCAATGGTGGGAGATTTAACCACTGTGTATCTGAGAAAATGTTTTAATTTTCACACTCACAAATTAAAAATCCTTTTTTTGCTAGAAAGTTATTTAGAACCTCCAACACATTTTCTGAAAGCAGAAGCCCTATTGTGTAGAATGGTAGCATTTGCAATTTATGTTCCACAATATTTGCACAGTTGTTTTTCAAAACACATTTTAAGCAAAAAATACAATAAAATGAATTTTAGAGCACAGAAAAAAAATACCCAATTTTTTTTGTAAAATATAAAAGGTGGTACCAGACACGATTTGCGTGCCCCACTCAAATACCTAAAATGTTTTAATAGGCAACACTTTAAAAGCCTTCAATAGTTATCAGCTTGCTTAGCAATCAATCATATTATGACCCTAGAATTCGCTGTAATTATAAGCATTTGCGTGTATGCATGGGTGGGACGAGGTGCTCTTAAATTTTTTTCTTGATTATTCGATTGATTTAAGTTTACTATACACTTCATTCTCCCCCCCCATTTACCTTAAGCCCTGGTTTGCACCAGTGTGACTTGTCATACAATTTTACAGTTTCAAATCGCATTACAAGTTGCACCCTGTTGTCTGCAATGGGACCGTTCAAATCGGTGTGACTCAAGACTTGAAATACAGGTTCCTGCACTATTTTTTGCGATTTCAGGTACAACGTGCATAGACATCTGCGCATGAAGTTCCACAGATGTCTGCCAAGTCGCACTGGATATACGGCTTTGAAACGGAGCAACTTTGCATGATAAAAAAAAAAAAAAAAAAAAAAAAAAAAGCATGATTTCAAAGTCGGATCCAGTTTGAACTGGGCTTATTATTATTACGGGGGGGGTAACAAGCTTCCTATGTGATGGCACGGGCAGGTGGCAGGTACAGGGATGTAATAAACATCCAGATTGTATGTTCTCCAATCATCTCCTGCTCTCAAAGTTAGCAACCTTGGAGGAACAGGGAGGGTTTAGGTTTGACCCTTCTCAGCACTGTAAGGGCACATTCACACTATGTGCAGTTACCTGTGTTTTACTTCATGGAAAAAAATGCAAGTAACTGCAATGACACAGATAACAATAGTTGTCCAGAATATGGTGTTTCTCTGTTCCAGAGCTGTGCAGTATTACAGCAGATTTGCATGACATCCCACCACCACCTGCCACACAAAACAGTTCAAAACAGCTGATGCTGAATACCTCCTAAAAGTGGTAGCAAACTCTGCATTATGTTTTTTTCCTATAGGTAAGCTTATAAATAAAGCTTACATGTAGGTTACAAATCTCCTAAATGTGTACCATTTAGGAAATGTTTGCTCGTTTGGCAGCCGAAGACGCCACCGGCACACATGTGCTTTGAAGGAACGGCATACCCAAGCTGTTCCTTCAGAGCTTTGTACAGTGGCCTCATCCATTCAAGTGGCCGCATTCCACAAACCCAGAAGAAAGACCGGGTGAAGATGGAAGCCTATGCAGCAGTGACAGCACACCACTGGAGGGCTTCATTTTAAAGTTTTTTCATAATGTGCTATTAAGAGATGCATACCAACACATTATGCCTTTACCTTTCAGGGAGAATTTTTTTTTTTTTTTTTAAAGTTTACTACAGTTTTAAAAAAATGCCTGTGCCCCTTAAAAGGGCAATGAAGAAAGTTCAACTGCAATATGAGAGCAGTGAGCTGAGTGTAATCTGAGATTTGATTGAGGAGCATGGACACGCCCCATTACCAGTGTCTCAAAGTGAAGCAGGTACAGCTGTGGCTGTCAATCACTTGATGTGTGCTGGAAGGGGGTGGGTCTGTCTCCTGGGATTGCTAAGTGTCAGCATAACCTGTCATAAATGACTCAAAAATAGAAAAATGAAAGTGCAGAAAAAAAAAAAAAAAAAAAAATCACACTAGGTGCTTTGAACTGAGACAAGTACACACTATAATGGGAATATGCTTTTTTTCATTTTTCCCTTTCAGGGGTTTACAACCACTTTAAGGAATAAAATCTATTTTGAGATAACCACTATTGTTTCCAAATGTACAAAACAAGCTCAGTGCTAAACTCCAGAACGCACCTTCAGGATTGGCTGCTTTGCGGTTTCTATCTTCCCGTATGCGAGGCGGTCTGTACTGGCAGTGTTCAACTGTCTGTCTTGCAACGGTTTGCACAAGAAAAAGAAGAAGGTGCTCCCCTCTAAAAAAAAAAAAAAAAAAAAAAATAGCTTGGTAAAGCAAAGGTTATGGAGGCGTTAAGTGATATTAAACCCTCCTGTTTTTATATATTACATAGGCTTAGCATTTAAAATAAAGGATACATCCCCTCTTACTTTCCTCAGTGATGCCTTTCTTCAAATATTCCCCTTATAGATTTTGATTTCACCTCTCTCCCTGTAGAGGGCATCTCCCTATCCTCTCCAGTTGTGATGGAGACACCCATGCATGCCATCTCCTAGCCGATGCTGTGTGGATTCACAGACATACAGAGCCTAGCAAGCCACACCCCTTGCTTCCACTCTGCGTTTCAGCAATTTGATAGAAGCAGGACCCTATCACTCCACTACCATCTGTACCCTTCTCTATAAATCGAGAAGACTAAGGAAGCAATGCAGATGTACTGGACCCAAAGGCAGTGACAAAGGACTGCAGGTAGGTTTTTGGGGACAGAGGGCATAGAAAGATACTGAAGCATTTTTTTACCCTATTGCAGAAAATGCATTAGGATTTTAAAAAAGCCTAGTTTTTAAATACCACTTTGAGCCAACACTGTGTCAAGCGACAATCACCAACCCTTGATCATGTGGTCTGTGCCACAGAATGTTTGGGGGACTGATGTTCAGGCAGAGATATGGAGTGACTGGCTGTGTCTAAAAAGTTAACAGATCATGGCCCACAGCAGGTCCAAGCCTGGAAATACCTTTTCTCTACTAAGGTAGGGATTACATTGATTTTTAGTGACTAATTTAAGTCCCTGGTATAAAAAAATAAAAAACGATACCTGCTATTTGGCATTGTTACTAGATTAGTGATGGTCAGCAGTCGGTATAACAGATCCAGACGGGCAGACTTTTGACCTGCAATTAGTGTCTTGCATTTACACTTCTCCCAGCAATCACAGTAGGCAGTGGGTGATGTACGCTTCAGCCTAAAATAGTAAAAGAAATAAACCAGGTTTACTTTAAAAAAAGACACATACAAAGACTGTCCATACAGGCAGAAAAGAGGAAGGACTCACTTGCAGTCATGTCCTTTGTGGCAGACCCTGGCACACTCTGTACAACAGCAGAGAGATTCTAACAACCGCATGTTCTGCATTCAAATATATCCTGAAAACAGAGCAATGTGCAAGATTAGAAGTCATTTTACATCAAAACATTTTACAATAGTATACACAAAGTCATGCACAATGACCTGGGATTTTGTGATATTGGAAAGAGACTTCAAAGCAAACATTTACCAAGAGACCCCAAAAGGCTGCTATTGGCATTCACTATTTGAATACACTAGTTGTCTGGTTAGCACACTGACCAACTGGGTTCAGTAAGGTTTAAGTCAATGACCTGGAACAAGTATGCTGTAAAGTTAGAATAAATTTTAGCCAGGAATCTAGCTTTTGCAGAATGGGAGGAATTAAAAAAAACCCCCACAAAGATTAAAGTTAAGCGTTAAAAAATGAATTTGAAGAAAAAGCATTACATGTTCAAATGAAAGCAATGCACAGATCTTAGGAATAACTACACCCTAACGAACCTAAAACTGTTAAAATACAACTAAACTAAGATTCTTACTTGCCTCTGATGCCACTTTGGCAGTTTATATCCTGAAGCACAAAATCTTAAATGCTTGTCAGGTCTGTGCAGTAATTCTCCATAGAACCGAATCAGGCAATACCCCTAGCATCTCTACTGTAGGAGTACAGCCCCATTTAAAGCTCCAGGATTTACCGTTTAGGCAGACACTGAAGAGGAGTGTAAAACACAGGAGGCCACTGCTATCATGGAGAGGTAAAGGAAGCCCATAGGTGTTTTTTTTTTTTTTTTTTTTGTAAAGCAGTTCAAATTGTTTATATTCGTATAGCTTTTACCTGATTGATGTGTTCAGCTCCAGTCCATGTGAAGCTGCAGGTGTCATTGCAGCACAGAACATACAGTGGGGAGTCATCTGCATTTGTACCAGGTGGACAGATCATTGCCTTGAACACATCTTCCTCTTTCTCATTGGCATTTGCTTCTGCTAAAAAGAGAAAAAAAAAAATTACAGCCACATATTTAAAGTAGCACTACCTTCAAAGACATGGAAATAGAGCACAAAAATGAAGAGAGGCTTCCCCCGTTTACTTGCCTTTAGCTATTTTCTGTGCAGTTTCCAGAATAGTTATAGCTGCAGGGTAAGCTCTTCCACTTACAGCCGACATGAAGGGGGTCATACCTCTGGCATCCCTAGAAGAATTATTTTCGTTGGTCAGAATATTCTTTAGATGATATGGGTGAAATTTTGCTACAAAGAATCCAGGTACAGCCACATTCACACATGCATAGTGTATTCAAACAAGATACAACATGAGGTGTAAACATATTTCGTTGGTTGGCATAAATTTCCAATGCTACCACAATGCTCATACATAAAACAAAGCCAAAACATACCTCAGCGTCTTATTGCAATACATTCAATAAAAAAGCACATGCTCTTTTTGCAGTGTGCTGGAAAAAAATAAGACGGGCATATTTTGTCTGTGGCCATGAGTTAAAGGCCCACAAAAAAGCATGCTCAGCGCCAAAACACACTAAACGTTTTATTAACCACTTGGTAACCATGCTATAGCCAAAATGATAGCTACAGCACGGTTACCCAGTTCTGGGAGGGTGTCATAAGATGTCCTACCAGAACACACCCTCCTTCAGAACCACAAGGGCATGCACCTGGCGATCTTCGTGATCGCTTTGTCCTACGGACACAGGTGATCACGTGATGAGGTAAAAGGCCAATCACAGCGGCCTTTTACCACGTGATCAGCTATGTCCAATGACACAGCAGATCACAGAGTAAATACAGTTCCACTTATCGACAGCTGTCACAGAGCAGATTGCCACTGATGATTACTGTTCTGCAGTTGCGCCCCACCAGTGCCGCCAAGCAGTGCCATCAGTCAGCGTCACCTCTCAGTGACTATCATTGCTGCATATCAGTGCCGCCTCATCAATGCCCACAAGTGCCACCTCATCAGTGCTGCCTATCCGTGCAGCCTTATCAACGCACATCAGTGAAGGAGAAAAATTACCGTTTGCAAAATTTTATAATAGAAACAAAAACTTTATTTTTTAAAATGTTTTGCTTTTTTTTTTTTATAGTGCAAAATATAAAAAAAAACAGTGGCAATTAATTACCACCAAAAGAAAGCTCTGTGTGTGTGAAAAAAAATTATACAAATTTCATATGGGTACAATGTTGCATGACCGCGCAATTGTCAAAGTGCAACAGCACTGAAAGCTGGCCTGGGCACAAAGGGGCTATAAGTGCCCAGTAGGCAAGTGGTTCAAACAATGCACAAGTGTGAATGTGCCCTAACATTTCACCTACAGCCAAGTACTGGTAAGTTACATGGTGTATCTAGTCTACAGAAATCAATAGTCTATCTGGGATAACATTCTATTTAACCACCTCCCGCCCGCCATATAGTAATATGACGGGCGCAAGGTGGTTCTCTCGTTCTGGGAGGATGTCATATGATGTCCTCCTAGTCTTACGGCTCAGGGAGCGCGCAGCGCGGCGATCGGCAATGCGCTGTGTCCCTCGGACACAGCGGATCACCGATCACGGAAAGAGCCGAAGATGTCTGCTCAGTCATGTGATCAGCTGTGTCCAATCACAGCTGATCACATGTAAACAGGGAAATGCCGGTTATCGGCAATTCTCTCCTCTCGAGCTGTCACGTTGACAGCTCGTGAGGAGGAGAGCCGGTAATCGGCTTTCCGCGGGACATGTACACAGATCATCAGGGCACTGATGATCAGTGTGGCCTGATGATCAGTGTAGCCCCATCAGTGCCACCTGTCAGTGTCCATCAGTGCCTCGTGCCAGTGCCCATCAGTGCCACATATCAGTGCCTACCAGTGCACATCAATGCCACATAGTGCCCATCTGAGCCTCCCAACAGTGCCATGTATCAGTGCCGCCTAACAGTGCCATGTATCAGTGCCGCCTAACAGTGCCATGTATCAGTGCCGCCTAACAGTGCCATGTATCAGTGCCGCCTAACAGTGCCATGTATCAGTGCCGCCTAACAGTGCCATGTATCAGTGCCGCCTAACAGTGCCATGTATCAGTGCCGCCTAACAGTGCCATGTATCAGTGCCGCCTAACAGTGCCATGTATCAGTGCCGCCTAACAGTGCCATGTATCAGTGCCGCCTAACAGTGCCCATGTATCAGTGCCGCCTAACAGTGCCATGTATCAGTGCCGCCTAACAGTGCCATGTATCAGTGCCGCCTAACAGTGCCATGTGTGCCGCCTAACAGTGCCATGTATCAGTGCCGCCTAACAGTGCCATGTATCAGTGCCGCCTAACAGTGCCATGTATCAGTGCCGCCTAACAGTGCCATGTATCAGTGCCGCCTAACAGTGCCATGTATCAGTGCCGCCTAACAGTGCCATGTATCAGTGCCGCCTAACAGTGCCATGTATCAGTGCCGCCTAACAGTGCCATGTATCAGTGCCGCCTAACAGTGCCATGTATCAGTGCCGCCTAACAGTGCCATGTATCAGTGCCCCTAACAGTGCCATGTATCAGTGCCGCCTAACAGTGCCATGTATCAGTGCCGCCTAACAGTGCCATGTATCAGTGCCGCCTAACAGTGCCATGTATCAGTGCCGCCTAACAGTGCCATGCCGCCTATCAGTGCTGCCTAACAGTGCCCATCAGTGCTGCCTAACAGTGCCCATCAGTGCTGCCTAACAGTGCCCATCAGTGCTGCCTAACAGTGCCCATCAGTGCCGCCTACCAGTGCCGCCTATCAGTGCCCATCAGTGCCGCCTATCAGTGCCCATCAGTAGTGCCCATCAGTGCCGCCTATCAGTGCCCATCAGTGCCGCCTATCAGTGCCCATCATGCCGCCTATCAGTGCCCATCAGTGCAGCCTCATTAGCGCACATCAGTGAAGGAGAAAAATCACTTATTTACAAAATTTTATAACAAAAACTAAGAAAAAATAATAATTTTTTTTCAACATTTTCAGTGGTTTTTGGTTTAAGAAGAAATAAAAAACCCAGAGGTGATTAAAATACCACCAAAATAAAGCTCTGTCACAAAAAAATGATAAAAATGTCATATGGGTACAGTGTTGCATGAACGTGCAATTGTCATTCAAAGTGTGACAGTTCTGAAAGCTGGAAATTGGCCTGGGCAGGAAGGTTGTATAAGTGCCTTGTACACTGGTGGTTAAAGGAAACCCTGCATTGTCCATCAACATGAAGCATTTCAAACAGAGGTGGTCAGTAATCACAGCTATGGTTCACGCCACAGGTTTAAAGCTGAACTCCGGGTACTTTGACAATTTGCTGAAGAACCAGGAAGGGTTACTTGCAGGAAAGCACAACTCCAAAGCCCTGAAAACCGAGGTAATGACTGTCAAATGGACCACCTTGCAAATAAGTAGTGACCAGGGAATCTCTCAGGGGTTTAAAAGTGAGAAGAATGCAAAACAAACAAGAACAAGTCAAGGTCCCACAGGGACAAGGGGGCTTCACGAGCAGATCAATCTTTTTACACTGAGATGCAAGGTCTCTGAAATGAAAAACTACCAAGGCTGAGATTTGTACCTTGATGGTACTTGAAGGCACGCAGGAGAAAATCCAAAATGCACCTCACAACATACAGTGTCGGATGAAATGTACAGGCTTTACACCCAGTGAAGTAAAAGTTCCATGTACAATAGTACACCTTTCTAGAGGCTGACTTTCTAGCCTTGAGGAGGGAGGGGGATAACATACATCCCAACCCCCAGGACTTGTAACTAAACAGCCATACCATTAAAAAGTGTTACTAAAACCAGGACCCTGCATTCACTATATCTGGTCTCCCACAGTACACAGAACAGTCTTGTGACTTCTATTAATGTCCAGCTGAGCACTTGCTAAAGCTTGTAGGATGAATTTTCATTCTGCTCCCTGACCTCTGTCTGGACAGTGCTGATCATTTGCACTCTCCCAAGGAAAAACAAAAAACAAAACAAAAAAACACACCTCTAGCAATACATACCAAACCGAGCATGTGCAGAGTGACTACACATGATATGTCTAAGGCTTCATGCACACACAGGGCTTTTTGATAACACTAGTAACGTTAGCTGTGTAAAGTCACATTAAAAACGTGACTCTTTCAGCCTTTTTTTTTTAGCGTTTTTGCATTAGCGTTTAGCCGCGATTAGTGGTGGTTTCTCATGTTTTTCTGTGTTTGCATTCAGCGTTTAGTGGGGGTTTTTTTGTCAAAAAAGTCCAAAAACGCTGGTTTGCGACATTTTACGTTACGTTAGAGCGTTTTTCCAGCCAAAAAACATTGATTACAGTCTGTGTGTGCACACACAGGACAACATGCTGGGGGGTTTACTGGCTGTAGAAAAAAAAAAAAAAAACGAAAGCCAAAAACAGCCGCTGTAAAAACGTCAAGTACGCATGAGGACTTATCAGGAGATAAAAGGGCACTGGAAGAAGGGGAGGATCAGAAGTCAGGATCAAACAGTGTTTTAAACACAATGCAGAGGACTAGGTTCCACAGAAAGTATAAGCATGCTTTAATAAATAAATATATATTTATTTATTTTTTAAACCGCAGTCTATGGTGCCGCTCCGTAAACGCCTGGCGTTTGCGGTGTGGTTGAAAGGCGTGTTAATACCATTAAAGTGGAGTGTAAAAGATGTAGGAGTGTTAATACCATTTAACTTCACTATAGGCGTTTGTGGTGCGGTTTTAACGCTTGGCAAATGCCTATCATCCAACTCAAAACCACGCATCGGGCGTTTGGGGAGCATTAAAAACGCTTCCCAAATGCCTAATGCCTGTCAAATGCTATAGGGGCGTTTGGCAAGAGTTAGAAATAAAGTCAAGTGTGAACGAGCCCTAACGCATCCTTTTGGAGGTTCAGCACCCAGCCAAACTTCTCTAGGATTTGAACTGTCTGCTGGACATTGAATATCAGTTTCTGATCTGAATGTCCACAACAACAACAACTGGAGAAAACACCTTGGTAACACTCTTGGTGCCATGAACAGGCCTGAAAGGCAATGCCACAAATCGAGAGACAATCCTCTACTGAGAATCAGAGAAATCATTGGTGAGGCTTTAAAATCAGATTATGAAAAATAGCATCCTCTGTATCCACCAACATCTGGAAGTTACCCTGTTGAAGTAATCACTAGCCAGATGGATTCGATCCTGAACTTCTGTACTTTCAGGAATATGTATAGACCCTTGAGGTCAAAAATAGGCTGGATGTCTGTTTCGCTTGGAAACAGACAGGTTGGAATAAAAGCTGAGACACCTATATTGTGTCCCTGAAGATACCCTTAAAGTGATTTTGATAAAAACTGTGCATTTACAGTTTTTGACAGGTACCCGCTTCCCACTTCTGGTCCGATCACCTAGGCGATCGGAAACGGAAGGTGTACGCCCTCCCTGTAGTCTTTTGGGACACGTGACAGGTCCCAGAAGACTACAGGACCATTCATGAAGCGCAGCACTACTCGCTCATGCGCAGTGGGTACCCGGCTATGAAGCCGCAAGCAGTCACAGCCGGGTGCCCACAATGAAGATGGCGGCCTCCAGGAATACAGGACGGCAGGTGAAACGGACTGCAGGGGGCACACCGAGAGACGGGTAAGTGGCTGTTTTCTAAAAGTCAGCAGCTACAGTTTTTGTAACTTCTTTTATTTTTTGACAGGGTGAGCAGAACTGCGCTTTAAGTTCTGCCTTTAAAAACCACTTTTAGCGCATAAAGCATGGAGAAAGAAAAGCAGCAAAATTCAAGTTCATAGCCTCAGGATACTATGCTGTAGACCCATTAGCCTGTGACATCCCGAGTCTAGGTGGCCGTTAAGAGCCGTAAGCATCTCCACATCCTCGCTAGTAGAAATGCTGCTTCATTATGAGCAGGATATGCATTTAGAATTGGAGGAATTGGAATTGGAAGTTCAGTATTTCTTACAGAACTGGGATATAGGCTTCTACTTTAGAGTCCAAGGCTGGTTGCTTATATGAAGGAACCCCTTCCTAGATCCTGAAGGGTAACAGTCTTGCGTTTTCCTGCTTCTCTTTACTTCCGCACAAAATCAGTGGTAGGAACACTGTTTATACACTTGTACTGAAAACCAATTATTCCATATGTGACTCAAATTTCACATACATGTTAATTCATAAAGATTTCATTCATTCAATGAGAGGGACATACTTAGCAGAAAGAAGGTCTCTGAGGTATGGCTGCAGAACTATGCTATCACACAATAATTTCAGGATGAAGTGAGCATTAGCTTTGCGATCCTTGGACTCCACTACAGAAGGCTCTGAAGAAGGACCTACAACAAAAATATACTGAGTGTAAAATCATGGAAACATAAAATCAAGGCTGTATACAGCAACAGTAATTCCAGAATAGCAAATTTGTACACCAAGCTAAACTGCATTACATTAACGAGTAGAGGGATTGGATTGAGAGCTTATAGAAAAGTAAAAGCAGTTTCACCTGGTATGGTTGATGTACTAGGCCCTTGACCTGTGCCAGTGGATGCTGTGGTAAGGGATCCTACTGCAGGGGCCAGGATAAAATCTATATCACCATCTTTCAGAAAAGAGAACAGCATGATGTTTACCAACACATGAGTCATTTACAATCCTGGATGTATTCCCCACATCTACATATTTTGCAGAAAGCACAATGATAAACAACAAAACAGAAAGATCAAAGAACCAACCATCATGTATTTAATTTTCTCAGTAATAAAAAGCAACGCATTTTACTATTGGGAATATACGAAAGCACACAAGCAAAAAACATACATGAAACCTCCGGTGGGATATTTATTGATGAACTACCTCCCACCAGTTTCAAGCCCCACAGCTCCCAATCAGGTGAAATATATATTTAAAAAAAAAAAACTTAACTGCAACTTTGTGTACAAAGAGACTAAAGAGTTCTTCAAAGGTTTTATTTATGTCAAGGAATTTGTGCAAGAGGGAGTTCTTAGGGACAGAACCCCTGCAATTCAAATAGTTGGGTTACCATTAAAAATATAGGACAGAAATTAATTGTCCAACAAACCATGAAGTATATTCACCACTGTAGTTTCACATTTGTACAGTAAAACTTGTGACCCCCCATTGATCAAACCCATTTATCCTATAGCACTCACCTGGATCCATAGCAGGTGGGTCTGGCACCCAGCTTGGTGGAGCTATAGGAGGAGACACTGGATCCTGGTGATCACTTGAAGCTCCAGCTTCATGTCTCCCCAGTCCTGCCGCACGAAGAGACCGTCTCATCATTTCCCTCAGTCTTAAACTGACAAGAGATCACAACAGTATTGAAACATCTTTTACAGCAGAATATATGATTGCTATGCAATAACAGTTACTATTTCCCCAAGTAATAAAACACACACACGATATATCACTACAAAAAAAGTGTGAAAATATCCAAAATGTAATGCTGTACTCTATACATCAAGATAAAATAACCCTATCACTGCAAGGTCCGTGCGCTGCAGTGACCAGGATGTGTAAATCTGACAAGCAGACTGCTGCTTGTCAGATGGAAGCACCCACCCAACCAGTGTGGCTGGAAAAGAATGTAATGCAATGCGATCTGCATTGCTTTACACTCATTGGAGCCATCCAGGGTCTTTGTAATCTTCAGGCCTAAAATTATTTTTTAAACGTGGCAACCAAAAGCCTTAAAAGCAGATGCCCAGGAAGCAGTAACAAAGCCAATTACTTAAAAATAGTGCAGCGCTAAAGTAGTGATAAAATGACAGAGAAAAAGTCCACTAAAAGTCTTGGTAATATGGTAGTATGGAACCGTTCCATACCTCTGAAGATGTGCGTGCGCACGTAACGCGTAAGGAGGAGCCTGGACGTCGAGACGCTACGCCGCCGGAGCCACGTGGAGGCCCGGCGGCCACTATTCAAAGTGTCAGGGTTAGTTGTCTTGCCGACACATCTTTTTGATACCTGCCTGCTTTGAATTGGATATCATTATTTTGAATAAAGCTGCCTTTTATTACTTACTTCACTATGGGTGTCCTTCCCTAAAACTCCCTTGAGGAGCTTTTGCTTGCAGAACCTGGTCCCTGGAATTCTACATCTAATCGTGAGAAGGAAGATCTGTTGCTGCATTCACGGAGGATCCACCATTCCTGTAACCAGACCAGCTTTACTTCCCTCTGGATTGAAGATCCTTGAGCTTTAAATGCACACTGCGTTTATGTGTCTTACTTCTGGTGAGTGCGTTTTCCAGCCATTTCCACACGGATCACCAATTCGGAATCCACATCTGTCACTGGATATGTTCATATTACCAAGACTTTTAGTGGACTTTTTCTCTGTCATTTTATCACTACTTTAGCGCTGCACTATTTTTATGTTATTGCTTTTAAGTTTATTGGTTGCTTAGAGTGCTTAGCCGCTTTCAGGATTAGCGCTCACTGCTGTTTTTTTTTAAAGCCATTTTAAAGCCAATTACTTGCCACAGCTGCAGCAGTTTCCTGCACACCAATATATACTTTGAACTCTAGCTAAAAGTACTCCAAAAATGGCAAAGCAACACACTAAAGTCTACATCACCCAGAAAAGAATCTTTACTAGCAAAATTCATGCTGAAAGTTTTCAAAAGAACAGAAACACCAAAATCTGCTTAAATCATATCAGATGTCTGCATAAATGGATTTTCTAACCACACATTTGAACACAGTATTTCAGAGATTATATAGTCTGCAGCATGAACTGCATAAGAATTCTCAGTCTTACCTGCGGCTACTAGAGGATCCAGCTCGATTCCCAGGACCATTGCTGGACACGACAGAGATGGCATTAGCTATAGCTTCTACAGCAGATAATCTCTCTGCAAATGTGTTCCTCTCTGAGCGCTCTGCTTCTGAAACAAAGAGAACAATCATTTGCATTCTTTAGAAACATGCTTCCCTAGATTATTCATTCCTTACGACCATCCTTAAGATAACTAAACTACAATGGAAGTCATTTACAAAAACTGGAGAGTGAAAAATCGAGTGTAACTCTGCATAGGTTCCAAGTTTTATTGCCAAACCTAAACTGAACAAGCTGAAGTTAGAAACGGATTGGCTACCATGCACAGCTGCACTCGATTCTGAATGCACCAGTTTCAGGAAATCTTTCCCAGTGTGTAGTATTTAAAGCAGGCCATCTCTTACACCTTTCATAATAGCGGTGACACAAAAACTTCCCTTTCAAATGGCAGCCTGTTCCCATTAAATAATTGGGTATCTACATCCCCTGTGATCTCTCCAAGTTGTTGGTTTTGAGCTATACCCCACATATAGCATATCCGTTTACAGAAACAGACACTATTCACAAGGATAGGACCCACAACTCCCCAATTTTCTAACCCGGACTTTCCACCAGAACTAGGAATCCAATGCTTTCTTTTGTGGTCCAGTGATAATACCACGCTGGTCCAGACTCTGGTCAATGGCAAAATTCCCCCACTTAGCTCATTGACTTGTAGAACTCCCAACAAGGTATGAATTGGCTACAGTATGGTCAGCTTTGGACTTGTATCAATTCTCTGAACAGTTCAACAGACCTCTGTGGAACTTCAAGCACTTCTTGTTACAGGAGCAGAGACCTACCCATGTCCTCCACCATTTACAAAATGTTAATAGCTGTATACTCTTCTGAAGAACTTTCATTTTTGACCAGATGAGAATCAGAGACGGGTTTGTCCATTTAAAACACCAACTTGAATTTATCCCTGTTATTCCTTTCCCTTCCCTCTTTCCTTTCCCCTCTCTCCCCCTTTTAACATTAAATGAGAGACAGAACACATCTTGATGGTTCATGACAGCGTCAGTCCTTGAACCATCCTAGTCTACTGCAATTTCTTTTTCTCTATGAATCAATACCACATCCTGCATGAATGCTGTTTGGTCTATGCAGGAATCAGTCTCAAGTATTCCAATAAAGCACTTTCCTTGCTTCATAGTTAATCAGTACTGAAGCCATGTGCCTTATGTGCTCCCTAACCCTGCTAGGTTGAAGTGCTATAACCTAGTCTGTTTGCCTTTGATCTTAGATATCGTGCGAACCTTTTGTTTCCTGATATGTTACGTCACATGCTGTTTCATACCATAATGTCTATTGTACTTTATAAATCTAGGGGTATGGTGAGTGTACTTATCTCCACTGTCTACTAATTCTGTAGAAATTTGCATTGTTTTCATTTTTTTTTTATTTTTCCCTTACTTGTAAATATGTGAAACTTACAAGAATTATACAGAATAGTGCTGCTCAGAATATGTTAATATATATATATATATGTATATATATATATATATATATATATATATATATATATATATATATATATAAATCACTCTTTAGCTCCGTGTGATAGCAATCAATAGTTTATTCTCCAAACCAAACAGAGCTCACCTCACCCTGTATATTGTAATTAAGCTGTTCTTTTGGGTGATCAAAATTGTACCACTCAAAATAACGTACAAAGAAGCGCAAGTGTGTGTACATATACATAAGAGGGATGTGATCACAGGTAACATTATTCCCAAAGAACCCACTGCATAATCCTACACAACCTACACTTCTAGAAAAATGTTCATGAAAAAACAGGGATTATTGGTTTGCACAGGTTACATGTTTACATTGACTAACTGCATCTAAATCAATTTCTCTCTGACCATACCGTATACCAGCAGCCAAAAGCCACTTAAGTGCACAAACAAAATGTGCTTACTCATTTCATCCGTGCCCTCAGATAATTGATCTCATCCTCCCCCTCCATGCAGGTGCATACTTAAGATCAGATGCCCTATGTCCCCAGAGGATTGTTTACATCCCATGCCACAAGTATTTTCTGCCCATGTCAGCGCAGTAAAGTCCCACAGAAGTCTATGGGGCCCATCTCCCTGCCTGTCAGGCAAAAGTAGGAAAAATTTTACAGATTCCTCTAAAGAAAGCTTCAGCATTTGGGCTGTCCCTATGCGCTTTTGTTTTTGCCCTGTGTTAACGTGTGTGAAAACCATACAAAGTAAACCAGCCAGCGGCAGGCTGGTAGAAAAACATTTTTTTTCCTTTTCAACACTGCAGCCCAGACTTTTCAGCTTTCAACACAGGAGTAACAGAAGTCTGTGTTCCCCAAACCTGGTTTATGGTTCTTCTTCCAACACTCTTACATCACTCCAGGACACAACAGTGGACATAGAGGGCGGGGGGGAGAGAGAGAGCACAATAGGAAGTTTTGAATGCTGCCCGAGGGTGGAACAGAGGAAAAAACAGGAGACACAGGCTGTCTGAGAAGTACGATAGTTCTCCTATAGCAGACACCGCTGGTGGTTAGTCACAAAAACAAAAAAATAAATATGAAATAGTAGACTCAAATAACCCTCATTCTAATGCAAGTATAACAGTAAAAATATCTTTTAAAAAACGGATTCTTGTTATACTCACGTTCTGTTGGCTCAACTGCATCAAAGTGACCTCTCTGACAGTTACAACTCTAATAGCAAATGCCAAAAACTTATATATGTGCATAAATCTATTTGATGCAGCTAGCCGATCTGAACACGTACTGCTGTACATACAAACCAAAAATCTTTATGAGAGGGACAAAGTGGAAGAAAAGCCGAAGTAACTATTCTTAAAATTGTTCTCTCCTCCTCCGATCTAACTGTACAAAAAATTATTTGTATACTTATTCTGAATCCGTTCTGGTCACATGACCTCGCAGTTCTGGCTCCCTGTGTCAGTGAATGGCTGCTGCAAGGGAGAGGAGGTTGCGCAGACACTAGCTGGGATATGGGACACTATGTGTAACATCACGGCTCCGGGAATTCCCAAAAGTTGAACGCTCCCTGAGCCAGAGCTGCAGGATCACATGACAGGACCAGAGCGTATTAAAAATAAGTACACTTTTTCTTTTTATACAGGTCAGTTAGGAGGATGGCGGAGGGAACAGGTTTAAGTTAGAAATTAAAGTGGAAAAAAAGCCTAAATCTTGTATTGTGTAGCTTCCTTTAGCTCCTCCCCCAGACTGCACACTAGTGCACACACAAAAGTTGCAGAAATACATTTTTAACATGCTTACTGCACTTAATGAGGCAAAAGTGGAATAGTCACTATAGACAATATGCTACCCCTAATTTTGTTACTCCTTGTAACTAAAACCATGCTAATAAATGAGTGAACTCAATCTCTGGACCTCTTTATATAGTTGAAATAAAACTTAAGTTTGTTTGTTTACCCCTACCCTCCTCCTCTTTAGTCTCCTTGTTGCTCGTTGGAAAACACACAGACACACAGGCGTGCAAGATGTTTCGATTGCCATCACACCGGTGGCTGAGGAAGGTCTGCAACATCTGGGTGTTTTGATCCAGAACCACTCCTTGCTCCAAGTTCACTAGGTACTGCCTGCAGGCCTCATAATCACAGCGCAAAATATGTTGCATCAAGGTTTGTTTCTGAAACACCAGGAAAAAATTGACAAAAGAATAAGAGAAATACTTTTTTGCAACAGAAAAAAAACATCAGTTAAAAGGTAAAGCTTAGAAGACCAGAATACTAACATTACAAAGTTTTTTGTACTAGTTTAAACATTCAGAAATCAACTGAAATGCGTAAGCACTGGTGACTGATAGATTACAGTAAAGAGGTCAAACAACTGGATGTAACAATTTATACCTCAACAGCCATGATAATAATCGCAGCCTTCTTCTTGATGGTAGAGTTTGCTGGGAGATTAGCCAGGGAGTGAACTCCCATACCAAGACTGCTGATTGGGGGAAGGTCCAACCAATCAGGGTCTCTGATGCCACCCATGCAGTCTTTTGCCATGGGATAAATTGTTCCATTTCCATCTCTTAGAATAATAGGAGACTCCTAAAACAAAACCACATGTATTCATTTATTCCAGGACTTCATAAAGGCAAATAAAAAGGTTCCAAAAGGTAAATTACAGACCTGTCCAGCTGTGAATATAGCCACATTTCTCTCATTCTGACCGAGAAAAGCAATGCTGCTGGTTGGGAAATTGTTTTCTTGTTCAGCTTTCCCAGTAGCAAGATCAAAAATACAGTACCGCACCCATGTTCCAGTCTTCAAAACAGCATGAACCCCTGAACACAGCAATAAAACAAAACAGCTTCAAGATGAGGACAACACAAACCAGCGTAAAACAAGCATTAAAGTGCAACTAAATGCAAAATAAAATACAAAAATTGTGGACAGGCAGGTTCCTTACTGCAGAAGACACATGTGCAGCTCCTATACATTTCTGGCACAATGCTAATGTGTCGGAATGAATGACTCCCACACGTGCGGGTGTGACATCCTGCACTGACCAATCACGATGGCCGAAGACCAGCACCCAGAAGAAGTTGTGGAGAAGATGCTGGTGAAGGAGCTTATGGCAGCATAGGCAAATCTTGCCTTTGGTTCTGCTTTACAATGTACACAACTGATACTGGATAAAACCGAGGGTCTACTGAATTTATGTTTTAGATAAGGTGGAGAAGGGCTGGAACTTCTGAGAGATGTACTAACCTTTTTCCTACCAAACAGGCTTTTTCAACAGCATGCCTATACCTGCAGCTCCCTTATTCCTATCCTGACAGATTCTTACTAAGGAACAAAGCTTCAGTCCCTGGGATGGTCCCATGCTCTGTTTTTTGGGCTGAGCTAATTTGGGAAAGTCACGCAAAGTAAAAGAGCCACAGCATGCCTTCAGTGATACTAAATAATCTTTAGCTTGAGCCATGAGCCTAGCTATTAGTGCTGCATTTGGAAACTTTGGCTAAAAAGGTCCATGTCAGGAAGGCTGACCTTTGCTGTAGGTCACAATTATCTAGGGTTTTTCCTCTAACAACATAATCACCTCTAAATAATTCTAATTATTAAACAATATACAGTCAAAAAACACATTTGCAGAAGCCATGAGCAAACACGAAGTTAAAAAAAATATGCCGATGTGCCTGACCTCTTAGTGCACCAAGCTGAAACCTAGGCACGAGTATAGACTTGGGAGAGGATCAATTCCTTTCTTAATGTCCATCCTGTCAATGGTAGGTCCTATACCACAAAAGGGTCTTCTGTGTGCCATGTAAAAATATAAGAGGGAACCTCAATTGTGTCTGGTTTTAAAAATTACCTTTAGAATCCACGTTCACAGCCAAGATTTCAGTCTTTTCAGGAATACACAACTTTTTGGGTGTTCTCTGGAAACAGTCAGGGACCTTGGGTGTTCCACCTGTTTTCACCACCTACAACAGTTTCAAAGCTAATTACTGCATGATAAAATTCATCACTATACAACATCCAACCACATGTTAAGTATCCTATCAGAGACCTTTAGTAAAACGATTAGACATGTAAAAGAAAATGTATAGAAAATTTTGCTTACAAGTTTAATGTTCAGTAAAAAGAAAGTTTAATGTCGTAGTGGTCACCTACCTGAAGTTCATCTATCCTCAGGAGTCGACAATCTTGGAGAAGTGAAGACGGGTCAGGATCACAGCCAGGAGTGCACTGACTGCTGGTACTATTTGATGTACCAGGGAACTTCACAGCAACATAGGCACCATCCACCTTCAGTACCTAAAATCAAAGTAAAGATTAAGTTAGTCATGCAGTTATAAAAAAAAAAAAAAAAAACCTTAGTCAAAAGCTGCTGCATACACTGCTAAAACATTTTGAATAAGAGAAACGTTTAATTGAAATAAACTGCATAGAATTTCAAAAGCTAGAAATATGAAAAAGACAGGAGATACGAACCTTGCCCACGGGTACATTTTTGACATCCTCAACAAAGACCACCTCCCTGAGAGACCACTGTTCTTCATTAACCTTCTCTTCCTCCTTAGGAGCTGGTGTGGATCGCCTGCGTTCTAAAAGAACAAACTTTATACACACTATACAAAAAGCCATCTTAGACACCAATATTTTACTATGAAGTGGATGACTTCCTCTTACTGGGAAACTAAAAGGGTTTCCTTTTAGTCAAGCGTCTTGGTAATTTTATTCCCAGCCCTTAGCAACTGAGGGATTTTAGCATTTGTAAAGCTATGATAGTAAGGCTGGGGGTATACAGGTCCTTAGCTGACAGCCAATAGTTGGGCCCACAGGGAAGATCAATTCAAGTATTACACTTTTTTTTATGACTTCTCTGCCTGGCTTCCCTACCTCTTCTCTGCTGCAATACCCACTACTTGGTGACTAACATCCCTGCTACTGCTCAACCTCATCTTTTGACCCAAGACAATGGACACATTTTCACTCCAATGTTAATACCCTTGACCTTCTATTCTATTCTCCCATCTCTGCACTCCTGGCAACCTTACAAACACCCCCTTTCCTCTCTCTGATCACAGAAACCTGCACCACTTTAACCCTTCACTTCTCTATTCTGCTACTGACCACCTCTATGCATGAATGCTGCTGGCAGAATCATCTACCTTACCAACCGCTCAGTGTGCCACACCCCTCAGCCATTCCCTCCACTGGCTTCCAATTGCCCACCGAATTAAATTCAAAACGTTAGCAACAACATACAAAGCCATTCACAACTCTCCACTGAGCTAAATCACCAATCTTGTCTCCAAATATCACCCAAACCGTCCTCTCCACTCCTCTCGTGACCTCCAGCTCTCAAGTCTCCTCCTCCCATGCTGGTCACCAGGAGTTTGCCAGAGCCTCCCATACTCTGGAACCCACTCTACCTTAGTCTGCCTGGCTATCCCCTACTCTGGCTCCCTTTAGGCAATCCCCGAAAACTCATCTCTTCAGGGAAGCCCATCATGCCTCCGAATACACATCACTTCCATCAGCTCATCTCCCACAGTTAGAACCTTTTGTACCACTTGCCCCACCCTATTAGATTGTAAACTCTTAAAGTGTTACTAAACCCAGGACCCTGCATTCACTATATCTGGTCTCCCACAGTACACACAACATGGAAGTGCAATTATTTTACTAAATATAAATTGCTAAATACCTTTTTTCATCAGCACTTAGAGCAGTCTTGTGACTTCTATCAGTGTCCAGCAGAGCACTGGTTACAGCCTGTAGGAGTTTTCTTTTCTGCTCTAGGAGAATGCAAAACCCCTGACCTCTGTCTGGCCAGTGCCGATTGGCCCTGTGCTGATCACATGCACCTCCCAAGAAGAAGAAGAAAAAAAAAAAAACCTCTCTAGCAATGTACACTAAAACTGAGCATGTGCAGAGTGTCTCCATGATATGTCTTATCAGGAGATAAGAGGGAGACACTGGAAGAAGGGGAGGATCAGAAATTGATTTTTACACAAAGCAGAGGATTAACTCCTTAGGTTTCACAGTGAGTATAACAAACATGCTTTACTCCAGATACAGACTGCTTTTACTGTTGTGGGTTTAGTAACACTTTAATCCTCTTGTTTTGTTTGTACTGTAGCTGTACTGTCTCTTTATATTGTAAAGCACTGCGCAAACTGTTGGCATTATACAAGTCCTGAATAATAACAAGGATTGCACTTTCAGCAAACATGCTACAGTCCATGTGGTTGTTAACAAGATAGAAAAGATAAGGAAAACATACCCCAAACACTCCGCTATGGACTTACTGTAAGGCATTGAAGCACTGCTGGCAATTGAAGAAGCATCACTACAGGTAGATGCTGGAGATGGAGGAGGCCCCATTTCTGTCTTTACAGGTTCTTGTTTACTTTCGGGCCTTAGTGAAATAAAAAAAAATAAAAAAATGATATAGATCACAAATTTGAACATATACTTCACTCCACATATCCACAATTCTACAGCCATGTTATATGCACCATACAGAAAGAAATTTTAAAAAGCAGTCCTATGTGAACTGCCTATATAGGACCAATAGGAAGTTCCTCCTCTATGGTTTATACTTTAAAGACACGATAAATTAGGACTTTTGGCTTACCAATAAAATCATTTTCTTGGATTACATAACAGGACAGAGGAATTCATATTCATGACTACTCGGGTTACATGCAGCCACAAGTGAAGGGACACTGGCCCAAAAAAAAAGTAATCCCCACCAAGGCATAACCCCTCCCAGCCTGATTGTGTAACAAGCAGTGAGAAATAGACTACCCCTTTAGTTAGGGGTAAGCATCACAGGAACAGAGGGAAAGATGAGAGATCAGAAATTGTTGTGAGGGGTGTAGGGACTGTGTTTTCCACTAGGAGGATTTGGTCATTGCTACCATCTTCCCCAATACCTTCATGCATGTTCCAACAACTTCAGGAATTCCTTCTAGGCTCAAAGACAGGCATTTCTCCTGTGGAAGCCGTATCTTTGCCTGTACCGTGTCGAGTACCAAGCCTACGTATCCCAGATTCTCGGTCTGAAAAAAGGCCAACTTCTGCACCCAGGAAAACCTCTGCAGGACTGCCATATTGCTGAACATTTGTTACAGTTTCTAAGCAGATTTCTACCTGAGAAGCCGGTTATACAGTTACCTCACAATGAGGATACACCGGGTCCTCAACAGCCCCAGAACCAGAGCCAGCACCTTGGTAAACACTCTGGGGGCAGCGGCGAGTGTTTCAACTTTACAGGCTTAGTCAGATCTTTCTCACCAGTTTCCTCCGATTGCTTAGCCTCACTAAAATAGAGAAGAGCTCCTAGGTTTGTGTCCCAGGCGTTCCAAAGCAGTGAAAATCCTAACAGCTGATCATGCAGGCAAGATATGCCTAAGCTACAGAAAATTCAACACTTGACACAAAGAAAGTGTTGCAGCTGCTGAGCTTTTAAAAAGGTCTGAACCCCAGATGGAAGACACCCAGCTGACAGTAGTGTCTGCTTATGCCAAAATAACCATGTGGCAAGTCTCCATAAGTAAACAAGTGTCTAAATCTTTTTTGTGCTCGTTGCTGAAGTAGCGGTAACTGTGACGATGTTGGGCTGAAGGTGCCGAATCAGAGTAGATCCCACAGTGTGGTGCAAACAGTGCAGGACCAGGAGCTCCTGAGCAAGCATTTGCTACTACTGGGGTCTATTAAAGTTTATGCATACATACGCAATAACCTTGTCCACTCTACCACATATTGCCCCATAACACAGGAACACTGCCATATGATCCAGTTAACATCAGAGACAATCCCCAGTCCATAATTTCAGGGTCAGGAAGGTCAACAATTGACACTCATTATGCGCAGGGGTATCCTGCAACTCAACTCGCCTGCGGAGGGATGACGCCTCTGAACTTTTACTGACATTACAGGCTGCCCCCATTCTTGCATGCAGGACCTGGGTACAGTTCCTTTTGGCCATTGATCCATAGTGACAGATTTAGTCCTTTCCAATCAGTGATGTTAGGAACAAGCCAGGAAATCTTCAGACATTTGTAGACAGAGCAATCACTTAAAGACTGCTAAAAACTGGGGCTTAACTGAGCTGGAAAGGATTATGCCTGGGTGGGAATGTCTCTTTATTTGGCTAGAGTCCATTCACCTGACAGTAGCAGCACGTAGTCATGAATATTAACTCTTCTGTGTCTGGTGATGTACGCATAAGAAAAGTAGCTTTCCAAAGTCTATGGTCTTTGCACCAAGACACAAAAAGAAAAAATCTAAAAATAAAAACTATATATGGCTTCCTTCATGGAAAGATGATATAAAAGCTACTACTGCCAACCAACAAAACACAAAATTAAAAATGTTGGCACAGAATTTACAATACTAAGACTTGTGATCATATTTGATAATCAGTTGTGCTCACCCTACTGTTCTAACTAAAGACAACTAAGGCTTATGGGAACAGTATACAATGGGATCATAGGGTGGTGTCAGCAGGTAAAATTATTTGCACACTTGTTTTAGGCTACTGACACAAAAGGTTCTGAAGCCATTCTAAACAGCATAAAAGCTAGCAACTGCATAAAGGAGGGGTAAACGGTGGCAGACTACTTTTTCTCTTGGTATAGATTTTCTTTAATGATGATTTAAGAAATTCTACATCTGTAAACATAATAAATTATTGTTTTGAACACTGCTGAGACAAAAGTCTTTCCTAAACTGAATAGGGATCTCACTTGGCTTCTGTGGTCTTGCTGGACTTCTCCATGTTCTTCAAGCTCTCTGGAGACCTCAGCTGGAACCGGCAACTATCATTCATATTCCACACTGACTCCATTAGGACACCAACTTTTGGAATGCCAGCACTGATGGAAAACGCCACTGCACCCGCATGATACAGCGGGTTATTTCTCAAGCAAACCTATCAAATACACAAGACATTTGGGATAGGCCTTCACAAACCGAGACAAGCAAGCATACACAGAAATCTTATTTGCCCTATTAGCAGCCAAAAGCACATATTACTAGAAATTAAAATACAGACTGATGGCAGAAAGACACAGTGATAGATAAAGTCTTCCCCCCGCCCACTGTTTTTTCCTTCAAACTTTTTGCTTGAGTGAGTATAGGACAGCAATGGGCAAACTACGGCCCGCGGGCCGTATATGGCCCGGCGGACCTTTTAATCCGGCCCGCGGAACTAGGCTCCCGCTAGGCTCCTCTCACAGTCCGCCCTGAAGACCGGTGTAGCATGAAAATCTGTCTCCTATGAGGATCTGTCCCCCTCGACGTACCTGCGCATGTGCCGGAGATCGCCGATCAGCTGCTAATGCCTGAAACTGGCACATGCGCAGATACGTCGAGGGGGACAGATCCTCATAGGAGACAGATTTTCATGCTACACCGGAACGGCGCGGGAGCACGGCGAGAGGAACGCGCGGAGCAAAGGTAAGTGAATTGACACAGGGGGGACTTGGGGACTTAATATGGGGAATGAATTAATATGGGGAATGAATTACTATAGGGGGGATGAATTACTATAGGGGATGAATTACTATGCTTACTATGGGGGAATATTACTATACTTACTATGGATGACACATACACATCATTCATCTACTCTTGGTCCGGCCCCCCGGGTCCAATATATGAAACCCATTGCGGCCCTCAAGTCAAAAAGTTTGCCCACCCCCCTGGTATAGGATCTATGTTTCTCCCAGGTATGTTTATATTCACTTATTCCTAACTACCTCTGTAGAAGTCGGTTTCAAGCGCAAACTACGCTTTCTGTAAAAATGCTAAGGTTAGATTTGAGCTTTCATCCCACTAGTTTGATGTCATGTCCCCATGTTTTTGATCTTAAGTTCCTATAAAAAAAATACTGCCCTCTTGAATGTTGTTCACACCATGATGCAGAGACGTCAGTTCTTCTGCACGTGTTCTGCAAAGGCACAACAAAATCAATTGTTCTCTATATGCCCTGTTCACAACAAAACACTAGTATTGCGTGCAGATTTTTTCTGTGAAGGAATCTGCAATATGTATAAAACTCATTGAAGCGTGCATAAAAACAGATGTCTCTGCAAGTGAAATCTACGCGTCAGTTTCCATCAGTTTTTTTGTATGGTGTGAACGAGGCCTAAAAGGTTTCAGTTATGTCCCCCTTTCCTCAAAACTGTACATATTACGTTTTTGCAGATTCTACCAATACAAATATCCTATTTCAGTCTGCAAGTAAGCTTGAAACAACCTGTGTTAATGTGGACAGTTTACCAAAGGCATTATTAGGATTAAGAGCACACAGAATATTACTAGTACTGACTGAAATTACCATTCTATTAAATAAGCGTTGCACCAATACTAAGCATTTGCACGAGTACTGAGCAAATGCTCCCATACTAAAACAGATACCTTCAAGCACTGGCGTAGCTACTGGGGTCACAACTGCCACCCTGCTCCAAGAGGCCTGTGCGGCACATTGTGTCAGTGGCCCCAGGAAGGGCATTCTGTACTAAGAGGGGCCTGTATTGAGGACTCCCTATACAGAGGATATGGTCTGGCAGGGGTGTCACAACATAAAAAAAAAAAAAAATATAGGTATCGATAATTGGTATCAGCCAGTACTTGAGAAACAGTCTTAAAACTGGTATTGGTGCATCCTTACATAAAATGCATTTTAAATAAAATGTCCTCACCTGGGTACCAACTGTGATATTTGGAAGTGAAGAAATTCCAGCACTGGATTTGGGTTTTTTATTTTTTGCTCGTGCTTTTTCAAGCATCTTCTTCCTCTGACTGAAAGGTACAACTCCCCTAGAGGACAAAAGAAGTTGTAAGTCATGTATGCCTTACAGATGGCAGAAGTGGTAGAGGGGACACTGGGATATTAACAAAAAGACACATTTGGCATGAGCATGTCTCCACTCCAAGATTTTCCTCATTACACAACCCCAGACAGTAACAAACTCCACCTAAACCTAATTATCTCCTATGACTATCAAGTAAAAAAAACAAAAAACAAAACAAAAAACCCCCACGTGTGGGAAGTCTGCCTGTTTGTGAAAGAGGTAGAGCAGGAGGTGATTATGGACCGCAAGTGAAGAAAAATAATGCAAAAATGATGGCCAAAACATGGGAATAGAGGAAAGAAGCAGAATGGCAACTGGGTGTGAACCAGTGAGGCATAAATGTAGAGACTGAGCATTACATTGGGAAAGCAGAATAGCAGATAATCATGACGTAAGGACAGAGGAGGCACAGGGTAAGCTGATCCAGTGCTTGGAATCAAGGGCAAGTGGAAATGAAGGATTGGAGACAAAAGATTGCAAGACTGAGGGAAAAAACAGAAGGCAAAATAAAAAATCTGATCATGCATATAGGAGAATGGGTAAGTTAGGGGTAAGCATTGCAGGGGGCAGAGGAAAAGATGGGAGATCATAAATTGAGAGGGGTGTAGGTAGAGAGGAGACACAGCTAATCGTGTTCCACTAGAAGGATTTGGTCATTGACTGTACATTGAAGAAAGGGGTGACAGAGAGGGGATCAAAGCCTAGGGAGGAGTCACATATGAACATTGTCACTGCCAAAGTCGAAGTTAAAGCTTTTAAAAAAATGTTTTAATTGCTCCAGCAGCGAAAAAAAAAAAAAAAAAATAAAATTGCTTTTGCATACAGAGGAACGAAACAGTGGAAAAGGGCTTAGAATAATGTAACAGCTCAGTCAGAGCTCACTAGTCAGATATTGCTTTAATGTCTTGGGTAGATACTCGCAGATCTTTTGCTTTTTTTTTCTCTCTCTAGTTTTCCTGAGAAGATTACATAGGTAAGATTAAAACATAGCTATTCTTTGCCATCTGAAAATTGGTTCAGCCCACTGCAGCAGTGCTACATTCTGCCACTCCCCTCCCTTCCCACCTCTGGGCACCATTTTCCCCTCAAATGTCCAGTAGCAGCTCTGTTCAGCCCTGCAGATAAACGAGCCTCTTTTCTTGCATGCCACCCTGTTTATGGTCTTCATACATCTGCAGACTCCAATATAAAGCAGATGGAGCTCAGGGAAAGGATACATCTCAAGGCGATACTTTCTACTCAGCCTTAAATGAACTGGCATATACAATCAGGGGTAAGGCTGTGCACAATGCATGAACAGAGAAAGCATCTTTTTTATACCACAAATATAATAGATACTACAAATACATATACACACATTTGTGCGTCTTAAAATTGTGTTTATGATGCAAAGCTTAAAATTGTCAACCAATGTACCTTCTCTATTCCTCTCTGGCTTGTTTCCTTTTTTTTGGGATGTAAACATAAATCTATAAAGAATGCCATAAAAAAATAATTTCTACTTACCACCAATAGAGGTTATTTTCTAGTTGGGCACAGGTGTAAAGTGCACAGCAGTGTAGAGATACAATCTTCTCTCCCTGTAATTCAGGGAATACCTGGGCTGTGTGTTCTAATTTTGTAGCCACAGAACTAAGAGTTTCATCAACCCAAGTGGCAACCTAAAAAAAAATAAAAACACCTCTTAAAATGAGTGCATGTAACAAAAGGCTGAGGAGTCAGGCGATGAAAGCCACATTGTTAAAGTGCACATCTAGGTAACCTTTAATTTTTAGATTTGGATAGCGTGAGGGGAAGGGTTAAACACTTACAAAGTTTTTATGGCTGACTGTGTCCCTACTGGGGAGATCTACCCCTCTATTTGTACCGGTGACCATTGTCTCTAAGAAAATGAGGGGATTCCAATATTTTAGAGATATTCCCAGAAGAAATAAAAGGAAATCTTCCAATGGACACACCTATTTTGAGGACACTTCCACTCAATTTCAGAGATTTTTTTTCTCACTTCCTGTTGCGCCTCTGAAACAGGATGCAATGTGAAAACCTCCCCAATGCTACATAGCAAATAAACTGGCAGATCACAGCTGCCCTCTAACTTACTGTTGCGAATCTGAGACAGCAAGTAAGAGACATTTCCCTATTGCTACACAGATGGCAGGGGTTTTAAGCCAGCCCTACTCTTATCCAAAATAAGATCTGTCCAGACATACACACTTTAAACAAACTCAGACAAGTGTAAGTTTTACACTTTATAAAATATTACAGATGGATTATCTGTTATTAAAGCATACAATAGCTAGCAGGTTTCCACTAAGCATTTTATACAAAGGAACAAAAAATATACAAAAACACACTGAACAAATGAAGTAAAAAGGGAAGAATAAGTGCTCCAAACCTTGTTGCTTTCTGTAGCGACAGTAGCTCGTATGCTATTTGCAGAAAGGAGGACAATCTTTTCATTTGTCAAACCTAGAAAACTTGTCCTTGGATGATGAATCAAGGGGTTCTGCAGGGGAAAAAAGTGCCCTTGTAAACCAAAATTTCTAGAGAGAAATAACATACCAAGAACATATGTTGATATGCTACTGCAATTCACAACATACCTGTGGGTTCCTGTATGGTTCAGATTCTAACCACTTCCACTGATAAAGCTCTCCTTTGCTACTTACAGCAACTAGCTCAGAATATAGTGCCCCAATGGCAACAAATTTAGTTCCATCCTATATAAAAGAATACAAAACCATAGAAATCAGTTTGCATAAATAGTATATAAATAATATCTAACAATCTTGTCTTTTAAAGCAAAGAAAATACAGTATGGGCCTTTAATGGTAGTGAACAGGAACTTACAGTAACCCAGAGCAGCTAAAACTGTCCTAGCAGACACTGCTCTGGGCCATCACAAATCACTGCTCTTTTCAAAATATTAACTCCTGGTAACAACCTGTCACCAGTCTCTTGCACAAGCACCCCCTGGAAATGTGATCTCTTGTGAGAACCATAGCTTATAATCCACTCTATACTGGAAAGAAAGATACCACAGATGACAGATACAAGACTCACAAGGTCAACATCCCAAGACTATTACAATATAAGAATGTTCAAATAATTCATGTAAATCTATATCCTTTCATAACGTTAGTCATAACAGGCTCTTTAAAGTTAGTATAAATATTGTCCCCATATGCTATACATCATTCTAAATAGATAAGATCACATATCTAAATCACTACCAGACAATACCAACAGTGTCACAATTAAAGCCTCGTTCACACTATATGTGCAGAAAAACAGACACGCAGATTTCACTTGCAAAGACATCAGTTTTCATGCGTGCATCAATGAATTTTATACAAGATGCAGATTCCCACTCAGAAAAAAAAATCTGCACATGATATTAGTGTTGTGGTGTGAATAGGGCACATAGAGAAAATTTTATTTCGCTGTACCCTTGCAGAACACGGTCAGAAAAACTGATGTTTCTGCACCATGGTGTGAACGAGCCCTAAAGGACTGATACACAAAGGTTTTCCTTGATAATTTGGCATAATCACTATTCCAATTTCAAAAACATTGATCACAGATTACCTTTTCTGGCCACCACTGCAAGTCTTCTCCCAGTGACACTGGACTCAGTATTGGGGTGTTCTTCTTGTCCAAACTGGGCTCACCTTCTTTACTTGTGGAGCCCCGTTCATTATCAAATGAGGCCCCATCAAGCCACCGCCTCTCACGCAAGCGTAAAACTGACTCACGTTCACGCAACAGTTCAGAGTCTCTTTCTAAGGGAAGAAGGAGAACTGGTATGCAATTGGGTCACACCAGTGGGATAAAAGTAAGCCAATCTCTATTTAAGACCCTTCTTATCTAGCAGCAAGTAAAGCTTATGTATGCTCTACAGAAATTATCTCCACTGCTACCATTTCCAGGGTCAACTGAAGCTTGAATTATGGGCTGTTTAGTAAGAGCATGGCTTAGTCCTAAATGGGATGTTTAATGCAAGGCTAAATTATCAGATAAAATCAAAATTTTAAAATCAGAACCAAAATATAGGTACACTAATATACATATAAATAGTTAATGGACCAGTTACATTAAAAAAGGAACCAAAACAAAAAAAAACAAAAAAAAAAAAAAAAACCCACTGCCCATTTAGTAACAGTCTTTCAATAAAATACATGATGGGTAAGGCAGCAGACTGCCTAACCAATCTGTTTCTTTAAAATCTTGCAGATTACAAAAGCAATGTCTCCCCACTGACATTTGTTCACTTGTCTGGCCAAGGACATACCAATGAAGCTCTATTATCACTTTTTACAGATCAGACTAAAATTCCAGTAGGAGAAACTTGGACACCTTAGCTCAGTGGTGCGAACCTATGGCACGTGTGCCGCCGTGGGCATGCAGATCACTCTGTCGGCACACGAACCAAGTCGCCCCAGCAGCCAAGCATCAGATAACAGCACACATAGGGGCCATGCGCATGCTCGGAAAAGAGTAGCGGCGGCAGGCTATCATGTCACGAGCCATGACTCATTAGCCATGACTCGTCCGAGCTTTCGCGTGGCCAGTCAGTGCGCAAAGATGATAGATATATATAAACTGGCAGGGAGTGCTGGTGGTCGGTGAAACTTTGCCCCCCTTGTGCTGGTGGTCAGTGGAAGCTCTGTTATTGTGTTTTTCTTTTAAGACAAAAGATGTTAATATGAGTTTTTTCAAAACCAAAACCCCAGTATTCAAGTTTAATTGCAGTGTTGGCACTTTGCAATAAATACGTGGGTCTTGGGTTGCAGTTTGGGCAGGGTCTCTAAAAAGGCTCGCCATCACTGCCTTAGCTTGATATCACAAAGATGGCAGATGTGTTAAACGAAATAGAAATCTAAAAATCTCACCATTAGACTAATAGGTTAATCACTCATTAAGGCAGTTCTAGATGGAAGTATTGTTCCCAACTGGTAACTTGTCAAGATGTACATTTTGATTTTGAGGCCTAAAGAAAAACCCATTCTGTAAGCTGGTTACAAGAGCCAGTAGGTCAATGGTCATGAGCATCAATCTGCCCATTGCCTCAATACCCTCAACATATGTGGTTTGCAGTACCACATTATTACAGATCAGGTATTGTAGAAAATGTGTTGAGTGCTACAGGCGTCATGGTGTACCAGTAATGCAATTTTGATTTAAAACCCACCTTCGGGCAAAATAAAAAAAAAAACGTTTTCCCATGCAGTGGGGGTTGTGCCCGCACTGCACGGGTTAACTGATCATTTTTTATATAGGAGAGAGGAGAAAGGAGATATACTTACCTAATCCTCCCCGCACACGACCAGTCTGGCACCTCCGCGCTCCAGCAGTCCTGAGTTGTGGACTGTTCCTGACATCATAAAGCCCAGAATAGGCTCCATAGAGCGGGAACAGTCCACCTCTGGACAGTGGGGGAGCGCCATTTATCAGTGGAACGAAGGATCGGGTGAGCATAAGCTTTCTCCTCAACCCTACTGCATGGGAAAACTTTTTTTTTTGCTCGGCGTAGGGCTTAAAAAAACAAAAAAAAAAAAAAAAAACAAACAAGGAAAAAAAAAAATCAAGACGACTTACAAAATCATATTTTGTACACTAGGTGAGTGCATCTGTTAAAGTTGAAATAAATCATATGCATGATGCTACATTTCTGAAATCTAAAAATTGCAATTCCTATAACCAATGAACACCTTTTGATTTAACTGGTCCATCAACAACCTCTGGGACTGTTGTCAAGTTCTACTCTTACGTCTACAGTATGTACTAGGTCAGCCATATCACAAGGGAATGCTTATAGTCCAGAACATAACACGGCTAATTTCTAAGAAGACAAAGGCACAGAATTACCTCTAGATGAGCCTATCCTGGAAAGTGAAGAGCGCCGAAAGGATGGATAACCAAAGTAGCTAATATCTTCTGAAAACATAGCATCAGCATCAATTATGACACTTGGGTGAGCAGAATGAATGTCAGCATCCAGCAGTGACATAAGATCCTCTATAAACACAAGGATCACAAGCCATCATTAAGCACAACATGAAAACAGAATGCCATGATATATTACACTACAGTCATGAATATCCTCCATCTGAGCACACGCAAGCAAAAACAGTGTGAACAGAAGGAGGTTTTGTTTCTTCTGGTAACTGCCTATGCGGATTATTAAAACTAGGCTTGCAGAAATAAGACCACCTCATGTGGTACTGCACTTGGGCCAAGCAACCAGGCACTAACCTCCAGGTAAGTAGGATTCACTGGCAGTGTCATCCCCGTCATCTCCATCCTCGTCATCTCGGCTCAGGAGATTATTTACAGCCAAGTTCACATCAAGGTTTGTTCTCTGGAGTTCTCTAATTATAACACTTCTAGACTTTCCTTGAAGGACAACTTGTGCCTGTAATTCAGAAACAGAGGTTTAAGAAAACCCAAAGGTCAGCGTTATAATCAGCTGTACAAGAAAACAAAATGAAAAAGGTGTACAAAAACAGGGAAAAGGCAACACCAAGGGGAAAGCTGCAGGCACTATATATGTACACAAAGCTGGAAATTATTCGAGTCAACAGCATTCTAAAAAAAGGATTTGAAATGCCTTAGGACTATAAGGGCTAAAATACGAAGATAAATTTTTTTTTGATACAATCAAATCAGTTTCATTATTTTTGACCAACTACATTATCTGAAGACAAGAGTTACACTAAACAAAGATATACCATATTCTGAAGCGCAGAGCTATCATGTGTATACCTGTGATATAAGTTCTTCCGGTATCACTGAAGCTGGAATCACCGGCTGTGGTTGACTACCCAGGAGACCGGAGCCCCTGTCTCGTCCTGTACGAATGACTCGCGTCTGTCTCCGAGAGTCGCGAGCCCCGGCTGATGAGCGCCCAGAGGATCCGCCACCACTTCCACCTACACCAGAGCTCCATCGACTGCTAGCAAAATGGATGCAAAGAATATATTTGAGTTAAGAGCACAGTGCTAAAATTATATGAAGAAAATATTTTATAGTATCAGATTTCAAACAAGAAAAAAAATCTTCAAAATGTTAACCAAGATCACTCATTATCATGAAAAAAGCAAAACAGAATTCACTTTCTGGAGATCCACCGATACAGTATAAACGCTGCAGATATATAATGGGTAAGCCATTTGTGACTCTTTCCCACAGCTGTAAATGTTCAGGGGGTCTCTCATTACTCCTTTGTATATACTGTAGATGGAAGTTTAGCTATTTGGAACGAAAACATCTTCAGCCTTATCCCTATTAGAACTTACCCAAGGGTGTTGCCTGCCAGTCTGCCCAGAGTCTCAGAACCAGACAAAAACCAGGGAGAGTCACTAGTCCTGCCTGGCCTGGATGTCCTTCCTGCCCCTGAGCCACTGTTCAACTTTGAACTGAAAACAAAAGAGGGCATATCAGTCAAAAAAATGTAATGGAATAAAGAAAGCCACCACCATCTGGGATGTAATTTAAGGCCTGGAACTCCAGGTACAAATGCTCAAGGACTTATTCTGGCAACATACAAGCATAAGCAACACCCTTGGGATCTTTGTGGTGACAGTTTCCCAATTATTGCATAAAAGACACAGATACTCACTAACACGGAGGATTCACATACTACTTGTAACAGCTATGTATAACACCATGACCTGCACTATCTGGGTATTTCTTTGATACTTTGTAAAGAGTCCCAAGACTGTGGAGTGATGTTGCTATTAAGTCCAGGTTACAGCATGCAATATAATTAAAAGCAGTTTTACAGTACCTTGACTACTTACTACCAAACCTAATGCCCCATAGACACTATTAGGGGGCTAAATGAAAAAAACACGACAGATCGCTGTACTAACACTAGTAGTGTTGGTACAGCGAAGTCCCCTGCCATGCTATTGTGTTCTGACAGGGGGACTACCCCCGCCATAACACACCAGTCAGTGTTCTCAAACACTGGCTGAGAGGGAGCTCATCAAAATCTGATTGGAAGACCTTTTTTCGGTCATGCCCCTTTGACAGAATACAGACGAACGTCTGGCTTCTGTCAGACCAGCTGCTGTACACACGGACCAATAACGACCGGTTTCTGTTGAACCAGCTAATTCGACCCGATATTCGGCCCATGCGTATGGGGCTTAAGTTCAATCCGTAATTCTATCACCCTATCTGAACAGTGATTTTTATGGAATATATACAAGCTACAAACACTGGAAAAAGGAACGCTTTTTTGGTTACCGCTTGTAAAAAAAACTGAACTAGTCTTTCATAGATAGTACAGTTATCCTTTCAACTACCTGTTCTAAAAACCCAACCCCCTCCTAAAATGGCCAATGGACTGGACAACTGCAGCCTGCAGGAACCTTTGGTGTGAACCCAATAGGACCTCACTGTTTTCTATTGGGTTGTCTCCCAGTTTAGGGAGATTACCTCATAGAAGTCAGCAAGAGCACCCAGGATAAATGATTTCATCCAGGAGGCGCTAAAGATTCCGTTAAACCACCGTTGTCCAGTCCAGAAGAGTATACATTTGTGGGGGGGGGGGGGGGGGTGTACTTTTAGGTTAAGGGGGCAAAAAGTTAAAAAGGTACTTTCTATAAAAGTATAGTAATCCTTTAGGTATGATTAGGAGGAGAAATAAAGGTGAAGTGCAAAGGTAAAGAGTGAACCCATTATTATGACTTTAATAAGACAATATACAAGTCACTTTATGGCAATTAATAAGAAGAGTGTCAAGAGGGAAGTAATGTAGATATTATAGCAGATGGTGGTTTGGAGTTACTGTAGGCTAGAAGCTGAACAGGATTTAATAAGGAGTACAAAGGATTTCTGAACCTGAATCAAACCGTTGCAAGAAAGTTTTGATTAAAAAATGTAAATATTCCTGATACAGAAAGCTTGGTCAGTTTGTTGTAATAGCCTCAATCTTTTACTGAATTACTAGACAGTGTTCACATCTAATACAGACTTTAAAATGAATGACCACAGGTATTAAATAGAATAGATTGATAGATTTCCTGATGAAGGCAATTATTGCAGCTGCCATTTAATGTAAACATTTAAAAGTGAAGTCAACTGTACTGATACATTTGACATGTAATAGGAGATCCGATCCCAATAGTCTATGTAATGTGGTGTTGCTGTAGATTCACAGAAGCCCTTATCTGAATACTTTATCTACCAAAGGATTTAGAACTCTGCATAGTTAGCCCTGAAAATCATGAGCCTATTTTTTATCTGCCCGTTACATGCTCTAAGATGAGAAGCAAACCTAAGCCCTGCTGTAAGCAATCTACATTAAAGCGTAACTATACTCACCTCTGATCCCACAATGCTGTCCCAGAGCTCCCCGCCTGGCTGCTCACATCTTCGGGCGGCTAACTTCCAGATCCCGAATGTCAGCGGCTGTCATTGGCTGCGCGATGATATCACACCAGTGCATGTGAAGCATTGCCGAATTTGTACAGTGAACTGCGCCTGTGCACCTCACTGTACAGGGGTGGGCAGGCAGGTAATTCGCTTTAATGTAGAAGAGACAAAGCATGTCTCTTCTGCATTATAAATCCTGCCTGTACGCCCATTTTTTAATTTTTTTTACCTAAAAGTTCCACTTTAAACCTACCTCTGCTGTAATATAAAACTTAAACAAAAAATATGCATGGCCATATTTACCCATTAGCAGCTCCATTTTAGTACCAGTTGCTGGCATCCGAGCACAGCCTTGGCAGTGGGCATGTGGTCTCTACAAGAAGGCAGAAACTGCATTCAGGCAGAACCACCAATTAACTGGCTACACCTAAAGGTCACCCTTAGAGATCACATATTCTGCCTTAAAATACTGCCTAGTTTTAAAGACAAAATTAAGAACTTCATCCTAATTTTGTTGCTGGATCAATGTTTCTTAAAAGAAAACATGTGCTTTGAAGCTGTCATTGCTAATCCTCCAAAAAACAGTTTCATGGCTGTCACGATGGTATAATTATTTCTCTACCCAAGTCAAAGACCCAGAACAAGCATGCAGATCTGGAGTCAAACTTCACTCTGATTGCACTTGCCATATACTAGTTTCAGGTCAATTACTCAAAGGGTACTGAAGATGAAAGAACTGAATGACAAGCCAGCATATTCAGTTCTGTAATGTCAGCCCAATACTTCTCTCATCACTGGTTATTTTTCATATTTAGGGACCCTGCACATGGGAAACAGAGGTGTCCATGTACACATAGAACAGGGTCATAACACAGTGTATTCTGTTTTGCAAAACCAAGCCTGTTTGAAGGCTCTTTTGTACAACAGGTTGCTTGAGACACTACAGTGACTTACAGGCCACTGCCTTACAGCCCGTGTTTACCACTGAGATAAATGCCAGCTGTCACAGCAACAGGTGGGATGACTGATCTCTATTATCCCATGTACAGGGGTTCTTAAATCAAATACAAATGCCATCTGCTTTTTAAATTAAATCTTACCCATCATTATTCTCTGGTTTACTCAATTCAAGTCTGTCTGGCTGGACTAGGAAGCCAATTCTGCAAACTCTTCCATCCTAATAAGAAATAAAGCATAAACATCAAAACAGTGTTTGGGGAACTAAAACAAATGAAAGCAGAAACAAATAAACAGGCAGGGTACCTCTAAGAGGAAAGCAGCATGATTCGGTCCAACCACACACTGTTTTATGGTCGTCTGCTCCAGTACATTCAATGGGGGGTGACTGTGTAAAGGAAAAAAAATATAACCATATCTGAAAGTCATAAAAAAGAAAGTGACATGTAAAATTAATTTTTGCAGTTCTATACCTCCAGGAAAAGCTAAATGACATTTTAGGTGGTCAGTCTATGAAAATAGAAGACCTCTTGTGCAAGTCAGCACTTCTATCCAGCATGGCTGATTCCAGGAGCATAGCCTATGCAAGTCTAAAAATGTGGGCAGACCGATCAATATCCTGACAGCAGCCATGACAGCTATTTTCTGGCTAAAATGTCCAAGACAGATGTTTTTCATTTGTATGATCTGTCCTGTAGTATCCACTTTAACTACATAAAGTCCATAGAATAGTCTCTCACCTTCATATAGATGTTGGCAGGCCGGAACATTCAACAGCACTCACCCAATGTATTTCTATGAACCAAATTCACTAAACTATAGCAGTTACTCCATTCTCATCACTGCTATTTAGTTCTCATCAATGATCACTGCTGAAAATAAGTTAGTGAAATATTACCCATTGCCCATATTAGCTATTTAACATTCTCCTTAAAGTTGAAACCTGGGCTAAATAAAATGGTCTACATACAAAAAGGACTGTGTATTCTTACTAGAATTTTGGTGTCCTTTGTGTATTTCCTCCAGATTAGTGCATTAATCCAGCTGGAAAAAATATTTCCTGTAATAAAGACCTGTCACTGCTGCTCTTTCCTCATGCAGGATAACTAGTCTCGTCTCCACCCCCTTCAGTAGTGTTCAGCAGGCAGCCAGTGGTGGGATGGCCAGCTGGGTCCCTCCCACAGCTCTGCTTTCTGCACAGATTATGTGCAGCATAGAAATGAATGCTACTGCTATTTTTACAAGATAATTTCTGTTTTGGCAAAAGGTATTTGGTCAACAAAAACTGGATTTATATTCCTTGTGGCTACTAAGAAATATATTTAATGCGTTACAAAACCCAGGACCCTGCATTCACTATTTCTGGTCTTCCACAGTACACGGAAATGCAATTATTTTAGTAAATATAAACTGCTAAATACCTTCTCTCTATCAGTGTTCAGCTGAGCACTGGTTAAAGCTTGGAGTTTTCATTCTGCTCTGACTGTCCTACGAGGCTGCATGACCCCTGACCCTTTGGACAGTGCCGATTGGTCCCGATCCCACACACCCTCAAAAAAAAAAAACACCAAAAAAAACCCTCTAGCAATACACACCAAACTGAGCATGTGCAGAGTGCCTCTTAGGGCGCTGTACTATCAGCAGATGGACTGGGGACTGTGGAAGGAGGATCAGAGAAGACAGGATCAAACAGCTTTTTTTTTTTTACACAATGCAGAGGATTACCCCTTAGGTTCCACAGCGAGAATAACAAGCATGCTTTACTGCACATACAGACTGATTTTACTGTTGTGGGTTTAATAACAATTTGCGTGCCTGAAGTTTAGCTTTAAACAGCAATGGAATAAAAAAAGATAACCAAGTCCACTTACAGTGTTAAGCAATGGCCATACATTGTTTCTAATATTCCACGTCACGATGAAAGAAATTAATTCATTTACCTGCTTAAATTATATTTATTTAGCTTCTCCGAAACTTCTCTTAACCTGTAAAAGGAAAAAAACAGGACTGATCACTTATGTAAACATTTGATCAAACATGTAAAGTCAAACTTCTCTACACGGTCATAGATCCCTTCTGATGGTGGGTATTTGTAGTGCCCCCAAGCCATGCATGCCCCAAACCCCAAGGTAGATGATGTGATTTTCTTTCCTGCAACCACAGGTTTCCGAAAAGAAAATCACTTGATTTCCCCATCAACACCGGATGCAGCTATAGTCACTAGCAATAACCGCATGTAAAAATCCGACATGCTGGTTGTACCCAAGTCGTACAACAAATGAATTGGGTACAACCAGCCTACCCATAGATGGTTCAAATCGCGGCCAGCCCCTGCTGAACCAGCCAAGATTTGAACCATCTATGGCCAGCTTAACTACAGCTTTGTTATTGTGAATACTTAATTTGGGCAAAGCTTGCACAAACCTTTTCTTTTACTAACTGCTGTGCCCACTGCCTGCACTGTATAAACTGTATTTGGCACTGCTTTCCAGTAGCAGTATGGTAACTTCCCAATCTGCTGCCAGAAAAAAACTGAGTCTGACTACCCACTGCTCAGCCATTCACAGGAAATCTTGTATTTTTATCAATGAATACAAGGCTTCCTCTGAATGGCTAAGGTGGAGAGGCAGGCAGATGGCATCACAATCTCCCCCTCAGTCATTTAGTGGAAGGCTTATATTCATTGATAAAAAATACAAACCTTCCTGTGATTGACTGAGCAATGCTTTCTAGAAGACTTTATAATGCATTCTAGAGGCTGCAGTATGTTATACATCAGTGTGCAGTTCTGCAAAAAAGACATTTAAAAAGACAATTCGCTATACATCAGGTCAAATGCTATTTGCTAGACAGCATGGATTCATGAAAGACAGAAGTTGTCGAACAAATCTGATTTCTTTTTATGAGGAGGTGAGCAGAACCTTGGACAGAGGGGTGGTGGTGGACGTGGTATACTTGGATTTTGCAAAAGCGTTTGACACAGTTCCCCACACACGGCTAATGTGTAAGGTAAAGTCTACAGGCTTGGAAAAATCTGTATGTAAATGGGTAGAAAACTGGCTAAAAGATAGTATTCAGAGAGTAGTGGTTAATGATTCATACTCTGAATGGTCTAGGGTTGTCAGGGGTGTACCCCAAGGTTCAGTGTTGGGACCCTTACTTTTTAATACATTTATAAACGATATAGGGTCTGGGATTATAAATCCCATTTCAGTCTTTGCAGATGACACCAAGCTGTGCAGTGGAATAACGTCCTTACAGGATGTCTTCAACTTACAAGCCGACCTCAATGCACTGTTTAATTGGGCAACTATGTGGCAAATGAGGTTTAATGTTGATAAATGTAAGGTTATGCACTTGGGGGCTAAGAATATGCATGCATCATACATACTGGGGGGGGGGGGTACAACTGGGGGAATCAATGGTGGAGAAGGATCTGGGGGTTCTGGTAGATCACAAGCTTAATAATGGCATGCAATGCCAAGCTGCGGCTTCTAAATCGAGTAAAATCCTCTCTTGTATTAAAAGATATAAACTCCAGAGAGAGAGATATCATATTACCCCGGTACAAATCATTAGTAAAACCTCATCTGGAATATGCAGTTCAGTTTTGGGCACCAATTCACAAAAAGAACATTGGGGAACTGGAGAAAGTACAGAGAAGGGCAACCAAACTGATACGAGGCATGGAGGAGCTCAGCTATGAGGAAAGATTAGAGGAACTGAATTTCTTCTCTCTTGAGAAGAGGAGATTAAGGGGGGATATGCTCAACATGTATAAATACATCAGTGGTTCATATAGTGAACTCGGTGTAGAGCTATTCACCCTGAGGTCATCACAGAGGACAAGGGGGCACTCTTTACATCTGGAGGAAAAGAAATTTAATCTCCAAACACGGAAAGGTTTCTTTACAGTAAGAGCTGTGAAAATGTGGAATAAAATAGACTCCCTATTGGTTCTTGTCAGCTCAGTGTATTGCTTTAAAAAAGGCCTGGATTCTTTCTTCACAGAATATAACTGGATACTAACATTTATAGGTAAAGTTGATCCAGGGAATATCCGATTGCCTCTCAGGGGATCAGGAAGGATTTTTTTCCCCTTCAGGAGCAAATTGGATCATGCTTTTCTGGGTTTTTTTGCCTTCCTCTGGATCAACTGTGGGTATAGGATTATAACTATTTTTTTTTAAATGGTTGAACTTGATGGACTTTTTTTCAGCCAGACTATAACTATTTTCAGGGTTCCCCTAAACTGCAAGTCAAAACCTTACCGCCAAATGCAATTCAAAAATTAACTTTAGTATGATGTTGACCTCAGAAACTATATATGTTATGCCACAGAAACTTTGTAATAAGTTTTTAGCAGAAAAAATTAAAGTTTTAGTTCCACAACCAAGTTCTGAAAAGTTTCATAACAGTACATAGGGCATGTATAATACACACCATCCTTCTGCTGCACTCCCTCCTATACCTGGCTGTCAAGACAGGTGGGAACTGCAGTGTAAATAGAGCAGCTGTGGAATCTGCTACTGTATTATAAAAAAAAAAAAAAAAAAAAAAAGTATAACAATGTTTACAAACACTGTTTAGAAAAGAGAGAGGTACATAACTGTTAACCACTTGCCCTCCAGAGGATTTACCTCCTTTTCTGACCTGGACATTTTTTGCGTTACGGCGCTGCGTTATTTTAACTGACAATCGTCATGCGGTCATGCAATGCTGCACCTAAATGAAATTTACATCCTTGTTTCCCCACAAATAGAATAGAGCTTTCTTTTGGTGGTATTTGATCTCGCCTGTGCGATTTTTATTTTTTGTGCTATGAAAAAAAGAAAAAAGAAAAAAAAAAAAAAAAAAAAAAAAGGAAGGACTGACAAATTTGAGAAAAAAAGAATATTTTTTTTACTTTTTGCTATTAAACATGTCCAGTAAACAGTTTTTGAAAAAAAACTAAATTTACTCAAATTTAGGCCAAAATATATTCTGCTACATATTCATGCTTTGCTAAAAAAAAAAAAAAAAAATCCCAATATGTGTAAATAACTGGTTTATGTGAAAGTTATAGCGTTTACAAATGGCAGTACATAAACTGGGCTTTTTTTTTTTTTTAAACTAGTAATGGTGGCGATAAGTGACTTATAGCGGGACTGTGGCAGGCATTCTGACACTGGGGGGAACTGAGTTGATGTCAATGACATCCCCAGTGTCACCAATACAGTGATCAGTGCTAATAAAAAGCACTGACACTGTACTAAATGGCACTGGGCATGAAGGGGTTAACATCTCGGGCAATCAAAGGCTTAACTGTGTGCTGTTTTACATCATGGGCTGTGCTTGTGCTTTACTGTAAGCACACTCCTTTGTATGGCTGTGCTATGCAGAGCCTTGCAATGCAGTGTGCAGGTGCTGACAGGAAGGAGACCGGTTTTGTTTACTAACAGCCCTCCCCCGCAGAGATCCTTGGCAATCACTTCACGCCAGCAAGTAATCACCGGCTGGGACCCGGTGACTAACAGTCACCACCGTGAATGGCGACGTGGGCGGGTGTGAACACGCCCCCTACCCAGAAGTGAAAAATCACCTATATACACACGGTATTGTGCACACAGTGATTTGTAATAAAAAACATAATATTAGTAATCTTAAAGCAGTTGTAAAGTGTTTTTTTAAAAAAAAAAAAAATTAAAACAGGTTTATACTTACAAGCTCTGTTCAAGGATATTGCACAAAGTAGAGCCCTACCACCTATTCTGGGGTCCCCTGCCAGCAATCTCTGCTCCTTTTCCGTGTGACACCACAGCAAGCCACTTAGTATGGGGGCATACGTGTGGCCGTGCGCTCAAGCCAGGCTTTGTGCATCCATAGACACATACGGGGCAAGTTTGGCCATGCCCCCTCACCCCCCTAAAAGGATTTGACTAACAGAAGCCAATGGCTCATCCTCTGCTGGCCACTGTGCCTGTGAGAGCAAGGATAGAAGACTGACAGCTGGGCACAGTGCTGGAATGATACCAGAGTCAGATACGTATTAGAGAAGGAAAAAAAAAAAGTTTTTTGGGGGTAGGAGGGTTGTTTTTTTTTTTTTTTTAAGCTTAATGCAGAAAATGCATTAAGCTAGAAAAAGAAAATAAAAATTAGAGTTTAGAACCACTTTCCCTGTGGAGCATTTTAACAGATGTTAAGAATTAGCATTTTTGGCTATAAAATTCAGAACGTTATATATTTTGTGAATACAGAAGCCCTGTTGTATAAAGACAGTAGTAGTAATATTTGTGCAACTATATATCAATTTTTTTTTTTTTTTTGCAGAATACACTAAAATGAAATTTAATGCACACAAAAAATGTAAATGAATAGTTTCTTTAAAACAAAAAATAATAAATGAACATTTTTTTGCAGGCAAAAAAATATGTGCATTTACTATCTTTCGTTTTAGGCACCTGGAAAGCACAGCACAAGCGATCATTAGATTGCTGGTGCAATGCAGGGCTCCTGCAGACTTGTGTTACCAGTGTATCTGTCTACTCCTATCACATACAGGCAAAGCAGATACACACTGACAAGAAGAATCAATGAAGTACCACAGAACTCAACAGGACCATGGTAATTGATAATTACAAGCAGACAGCCAGCCGCAAAGGCTGTCGGGACTTGTAGCCTTCCCACTCACAAAACAGGGGATTGGGGGGTGCGGGGGCTGGTCTTAGAGTAACATGTTACAAGTTACACCCTGAATATGGGTGTAACATGTTAGAAAAAGGTGAAATTATCCTTTAATCCAGAATTTTTGGTACTACATAAAAGATGGGGTAGTGTTACCAAATATTGCAGGCCTCAAAACTGTGTGCAAGGGAAATGGCAAAAAAGTACAGTGCAAAAACCGATGGTACCAAACTATGAATACATGACACTTTAAAAGCCTTTACAGCTCATCAGCTTAGTGTTAACCAGGGAGGGATGTACAATTCGTTTTCTCACTCTGGTG